CATACATATTGTTACTTTACGAAAAAGGCCTATTAGCAACAAATGATATAAGAGTAATAAAGAACAGTTTTATTTGTCTAAGTAATCATAACGTGATCTTCTAGCAAACACATGAGTAAATAGAAGGTTAAAGTCCAAATTCGGATTCAGATAAGATTTTCAAATATTAATAAAAATAAGTCATGTAAGTTCATGATATCAGTAATACGTTTGGGTTGAAAATTTATTATTAAATTATCTTTTTTTTAGAGCCGATCAATCAGTTTCGTTGTTGTTTAGAACTGGGATTTATTTTTAAAACAAAATCATAGTATCGACGAGGATGGGATTCGAACCCACGCGTGCAGAGCACAATGGATTAGCAGTCCATCGCCTTAACCACTCGGCCACCTCGTCTTTCACAATTACTTAAAAATAGCCTTGATTTTTATTAGGCTGAAAGCCATTTTCATGATATAACAAAATGTATGCAAATGACTTTGTGAAGCGCCTCAATACGAATTATGCATTCATCTGTTACGAATAAATGTTTTATTAATAGTCAGACCTCAAATTGCAAACATGAGTTTTTGCTTGGTAGAATTAACATTAATATTAATAATAATGTCAACTTATAAAGCGCACATATCCATTCTAAAAGACTGCTCAAGACGCTCTGTATAATATCAAAATAATTATATAATATTAAAACTACAACATAAACAAATAGTGCTTAAATATCCTCTTGAATATTCCAATTGATGATGATAATTGTCTAATTTGTAATGGTAAAATGTTTCATAATTTGAGTGCAAAATTATCAAAAGCCCGGTCCCCATATAGGTTGTTGGGTGTATATATTAACTGGAGCTGTGAACCTGAACGTAAATTCTGTTGTGTGGTGTACGGTTTCAAAATCGGATACAAGTAATGGGATGAAGAATGAATAAGTGTTGTGTAAGTAATAAGTAACAGCTTATACATGCTTCTTTTTTAGACTGATAACCAATGAAGAGATTTTAATATATCTGAAATATTGTCGGATCTACTACGAAGGGTGACGAGCCGAGCTGCCATATTCAGAACTCGTTGCAGATGGGCTATTTAATTACACATTTCCAAAACGACATGACATAATAAAAGAATGAACAATCTGATCGGTGGCTTTCTGATTCATGATCCTCCAGATATTGTGAGTATTGACTGATGCTAAACTAACAACATTAATATGAAATCTGAGATTTCATGGTCATTCCAACATCAAACAAAACTCCGAGATTACGAACCTGATTAACACATTTTATTTCAGAATTGCTAATGAGAATCCTTTGTGCAGAAAATCATGGCTTGCCCTACCTATCAACACTTACTATATCCAATTTTCATTCTGACTATTGGAATACAATTATTCGTGACAGGTGAAAGAAAGGATTCGTATCGAGGCGCTAAGGTATAAATTTGGTTACATTACGAAAATGGCCTATTATTAACGAATGATATACAAATAGATAAAGAACACTTGTATTGGTTAAAGTAATTATAACGGGATGGGATGGGATGACATAATGGGATATTAAGGATGGGATAAAAGCTTCTTGCAAACAAATGAGTAAGTAGAAGCTTAAACTTCGAGTCAGATTCAGATAAGATTTCCAAATATTAATACAAACATATCAGTTCATAACATCAATAATATGTAGCATTAATACGTTTGGGGTGAAAATGATCATTATATTATCTTATTTAAACATATTCCTCATGTATAATTTTCTTAAGACGATCTATCAATTTTGTTGTTGTTGTTGTTTAGAATTGGGTTTAAACAAAAAAGTATCGACGAGGATGGGATTCGAACCCACGCGTGCAGAGCACAATGGATTAGCAGTCCATCGCCTTAACCACTCGGCCACCTCGTCTTGCGTGGGGATGTTAATATAGCCTAGATTCTAGGCTAAATGTGTTTTTTAATCCTTGGCTATATTTTCCATTCAGCCTAATGAAATGAAAAAATGAAATTCGTTCCTTTCTCGCCTTTTCGTTTCTTTATTTACACATATTATTTCATACATTCTTACACTTCGTAGGCTGTCTTAGACGTTACTGTAAATGCCGCACCCCACCCTTTATTAGTTTCTGGATGGATAAGCAATTATTTTCCCATCTCTAAATATAAATATATATGTATAAATGTTAGTCTTTGCTATTATATAAACGTGCTGTGATTAATACTAACTTCCCCTAAAAGATGAATACATAATTTTATACTTTTACAATCAAAGGGATTAATCTAGTAATTTTCAGAACTCCTTGTCCACTCATCCAATATATTTTGTCAATTTGGGGATAATCCATCAAACAAGCCAGTTCACGGTTGCAGATAAAGGTCATTGCAGAACAAATTTTGGAATACACGGAGACGAAATAATGGATACGTGCTCATGAAAGTTATGTAATCATTATTAATTCATGCACATTCAGTGCACTCCATGATACACAGGTGAAAGTATTTTTTGAAAAAAAGGAAACAAAGGCTATTTTTATGGCACCTCCATTGCTGTAGCAGTGATTATTTCAAAATGTACAAAGTGGGACCTCTTCATGTTTTGAAGATCTGTGGATATTCGGGGTCATTGCAGTAATGTGCTAACCGTGAACTGGTCTATTTCGTATGTTTTGGAATCGGGAGGAAAAAATTGTAACGACGAGGATGGGATTCGAACCCACGCGTGCAGAGCACAATGGATTAGCAGTCCATCGCCTTAACCACTCGGCCACCTCGTCTTACACGGTGTTTGTTACCTGGTTTTATAATTTCTCCTTTTCCATAATTCAAGGATTACACAACTTATCCCATTTGTTTATGACATTATGCACGATTCAAAACATTTAATATTTGATGTCATTTGAGTAAGATAAGGCCAAGGTCATTTTGAACAAACTAAGAAGATAAGAATTCCAATAAGTATATGTGTAAGATTAAAACGAAATATAAAACAAGAAATGGAAACTCCATACTCTAGAAATTCGAACTGCCCCTATTTTATTTGTTTATTTCGTTGGGAAATCAATTCTCTCTCACATATATACACACTCTTTCATGAAGAAACATCTATCGGGTTGCAAACCCTTACGAAAAAAGAGGAAAAAAACACCACACAGTTGACTAGCCATCATCTCTTAGCAAGAAATTCTTACACTAAATTCTGCTATGCCTTAGGAGCCTTAAAGAAGAAAAGATTATCTTTTAAACAAATGATAAAAATGAAACTTTTAAATAAACAAAGCCTTGCAACTTATTTTACTTTTGTTTTTAATTCTTGACTGGGTGTGTCGTTCATCTATAATAAGGGGCAAGGCCCGGTAGGCTCATCATTCACAGGCTACCATCTCCCAGCCAGGAATTACTTTATACTAAATTATACTATTAATTACAGCTGATAAACAAGACAAAGCTATAAAAAAAGGTTGAATAAAAGAAATAAAGATTAGTTGACTGGGTGTGCTGTTTACCTACAAAGTACAAAGTATATCATTCACAGGCTACAATCTCCCAGCCAGGAAATACCTTCACTAAATTCTACTATGAATTACAGCTGATAAAATGAGAAAAAAAGAAAAGAAAAAAGTTGACTTTTTTTTCTCTGTCCCTCTATCTTGTCCTCTTTTAACTTTCTTCCGTCACTCTCTCTTTTTACCCTTTCCAATTTTTTAGGCCGCCAAAAAGGGCCGCGGCATTATAGTTAAATACTTAACATTTTTTGGATATTCTATTAATGTTTTTAAAAAGAATTAATTTATAAAATTTAATTGAGTAGAAAGATATAAATAAAGAATGAATGAATGAATCAGTCTGGATTATATAGGGAAAATATCCAACATGTTAGATGTATTCTACCCTGCCCCGATTATGTTTTTGTCCAATTTACATTTTACTTCAATTTGGGGAAAATACATATTTTTCGTTATTGGCCTGCCATTAGGGTACCAAGCTTATTCTACAATTTCCTGAAGTATAGATTGGAAAAAAATGATTCCATGTCTATTTTACCCCAAGGTCATTTTGAATGGAACACTGACCAATAAATATGATTGAGTTTGTGTTTAAGGGTGCATGCTCTCTACAGTTGACATTGATGAATCAGTATTTACAGTTCTATACCCGCATATTTGGAGATTTCCGCGGTACTACCGGATGGTTCGCAAAGCTTCATTCCTTGGTTGGGAATAGGACATAAGGCTTACTGCTCAAGTTTACATTGATTTCATGGACATTTTTTCATGTGACATGTTATAAACGAAATTTGAGAATAAAAATAATGTTTTGCTGCTGAGGATAAACAACGTGAACATTGAATATTATTTCTTGACAGAGATTTCCTAACTGCGGCGATCAAAATATGAACTATGTAATGAGATGGTTCGACGATAGTGGACCAATATCCTGTACAAAATTGGATTTGACAGATTATACGTTTTGTGTTGAGAAATGGTAAGAGTTAATTTTTAAAAATCTTATTATTTCTTTATATAATTTATATATATTATAATGCTTTAAAAAAAACAATATTTTTGTTGTTGCTGTTACCCTCACTATTGAACATTAAAAGCCTGTAAAAAATGAAAATCTGAAGATGGCCACTTCAAGCAACATGCTTACTATTTATCTACTATGCTAAAAGCCGGAGGAGCATTAATTCTGTATCAAAGAACATAGCTAACACCCTCCACACTCTCAATAGACGAAATATTCTTTTTACCCAGAACAAAGTTGCATGCGACAATTAGGCAAATCTCAAACAAATATTCCAAGTGTTTCTGTGAAAGAAGTGCATCTCAGATCACTTGATGATCACACTGTCATGATGATCATGAAAAGAAGGAAGAAATGTTTCTTATGTGTTGTTTTGTTTTTAATAAGAATAGAATATCAAATAATGAAATTAACATCATTGTTTCCACGTAGCCCTATTATGTTCTTACACTGGCAATCAATTTATCTGTTGCACTTTCAGGTCGGAAAATGTACCGAATAACAAGAGTCCGCGGCGTAGCATCGACGGATTATATTGTGTGTGAATATATTCCATCTATCAACACACTTAACAACTATAAGAAAGGACCACATCTCAAGAAGAAAACATCTTGATTTGCAAGAGTAACAATGTCAGACTGGCAGTACAGAGAGTCACAGGACGGGGAGATAGGTGAATCATTTTGGAGCAGATTGTTTTCACATAGATCGTAAGTATAGTAAAAACATTGTGGTAAATGAAAGTCATGATACGACGAGATATTATTAAGTAAATTTGAGGCAAACCCTAACGACGTACATACTGATAAATAAATTGTGCTATAATGACTCCATTTTAACAGGCCTATTATGTAGACTACTTCTTTGACTGCTGATACTACTACTACTACTACTACTACTACTACTACTACTACTTTTAAAATAAACGCTATTTCTTATACCACTTCTACCACCCTTTCCAACGCCGCCACCACCACGACCACCATATCCACTTGTACTAGTACTATACTACTACTACTTCTCGTACAGCTACTTCTACAATAACATACTACTATCACCACCATCATTTCTCCTAAAACTATACTGCTATGCTTTCTACTACTAATACTACTACGACTATAATTGTTATACTAGTAGGCCTACTGGTACTTGATCTACAACATCATCATCATCATCATCTTTTCTTTTTCTCTTCTTCTTCTTCTTCTTCTTCTTCTTCTTCTTCTTCTTCTTCCCCTTCTTCTTCTTCTTCTTCTTCTTCTTCTTCTTCTTCTTCTTCTTCTCCTCCTCCTTCTTCTTCGTCTTCGTCTTCGTCTTCTTCTTCTTCTTTTTCTTCTTCTTCAACTATTACTTCTACATGCAACGACGACGATCGGACGACGAAGATGACGACTATTATTGTTACTACATACTTTTACTACTCGTGTTAATATTGCTATACGTGGACAGTATACTACAACTACTGCTATTACTACCTCTACTAGTAATCTTACTTCTTCCGCTACTACTATTACTCCTATAACTGCCACTACATAAACATGAACTAGCATTACCCGTCAAATCAACGAATCAAATGATCTTTATTGCATTTTTTAGGGGACACTTCCCTAATTTGACGTCCGTATATCTAAATCACTCTAAAGTAGCAACATAACGAATTCGACACAAACATGTAAACAAATTGTTATACAATCTCCCCGAAAAGCATAATGAAGTATTGACATTTACATTTTCTGATTTGGCCTGTACATACAGACCTGTTCAGAGATCATTACACTAGTCCCTTATGATTATCCTGGCTGAGTCTTGTGCTCAGTCTGTGATATTGAAACCGACATCTCAAGTGCCATAAGTTCACTTCATACGCTGAAATGAAATATGAGTAACGGAAAGCATATGGCCGATAAGATGGTAGTTGCCTGTACTAAAACCAATGTTATGGAATATGTTAGTCAAATAGTATACGGGTATAATCAGCTGATGTGCACGTGTATTTATGCATCAATGTTCCCTTTTGATGTTCTCTCTTTTATTTTTATTTTGCAAAAGTTGCAAAGATGTCTACGCTGGGAATACATTAATATACATACACAATTATACATATATGTAAAGGTGTCGTGATCTGGTGGATACATCACCCGACTGTGGATCACATGGTCCCGCCGCGACACCAATGTCCTTTGGCAAGACATTGATCTACATTTGCCACTCTCCACCCAGGTGAAGTAAATTGGTACCTGGTTGGAAGAAATTCCTTGAATGCTTATTATTATTATTATGGCAGCTAAGCTACAGCCGAGGTAATAACATGATAACATGCAAGCGGTAGAGTATATTCATATAGTAGCTGCGCTATATAAATTGAACTGTTATATACAAATATATATTTATATATATATATATATATATATATATATATATATATATACATGGAGATACATACATGATGATATTTATATACATATAGTACTTGTGTATCTGGTGTCGCCGAAGTCACTGACGTATCCGTGGTCTAGTGGTTTAAAAAAATAATATTTAAAGTTTCCATAAATATTTTTTATTTTGGGGACCGGGGTCAAATGCAATAAATTATTGAAAATTTATTGCATTCTCTGTGTTTTTTATATTTATGGAAACTGCCCCCTACCCTAGCCCCCGCTGCGTACAGTCATGGTTCAGTGACAAAGCAATGACCTCGTAACTGTGAGGCCCCAGGATCAATACCGTCGATGTGCTATATTAGTACCCTTTTGTGGGGCATTAATCCTCATTACTGTCTTTTATGACTTAAGAGCGTCGGTGCCCTAGTTGATAAGCATAGTAGCATACACATGTTTAGCAGTCACGCATTGTCAAATTATTATTCAATAAAATCTGAGAATGTATACTATTATCTAGATCTATTATTTTTAAATTATTTTTGAAATAATTCCATAAATTGGGGTAAAACAAAAATATTCCACCTATATGAGCGACAGTGTACATACAAATTATACGTATATGTAGAGGTGTCGTGGTCTGGTGGAAACATCACCTGACTGTGGATCACATGGTTCGCGGTTCCCAGGTGATGTAAAGGGGTACCTGGTTGGAAGAAATTCCTTGAATGCTTATTCTTATTATTATGGCAGCTTAGTTTAATAATATGATACTTGTATTCAAGCGGTAGAGAGGCTGCGCTATATAAATTGAACTATGATAATATATTTATATACTATATATACATGAAGATACATTACATGATGATATATATATATTTATATACTACTTGTGTATCTGGTGTCGCCGAAGTCACTGACGTATTTGTGGTCTAGTGGTTTAAAAAAATAATATTTAAAGTTTCCATAAATATTTTTTTATTTTGGGGACCGGGGTCAAATGCAATAAATTATTGAAAATTTATTGCATTCTCTGTGTTTTTTATATTTATGGAAACTGCCCCCTACCCTAGCCCCCGCTGCGTACAGTCATGGTTCAGTGACAAAGCAATGACCTCGTAACTGTGAGGCCCCAGGATCAATACCGTCGATGTGCTATATTAGTACCCTTTTGTGGGGCATTAATCCTCATTACTGTCTTTTATGACTTAAGAGCGTCGGTGCCCTAGTTGATAAGCATAGTAGCATACACATGTTTAGCAGTCACGCATTGTCAAATTATTATTCAATAAAATCTGAGAATGTATACTATTATCTAGATCTATTATTTTTAAATTATTTTTTGAAATAATTCCATAAATTGGGGTAAAACAAAAAATATTCCACCTATATGAGCGACAGTGTACATACAAATTATACGTATATGTAGAGGTGTCGTGGTCTGGTGGAAACATCACCTGACTGTGGATCACATGGTTCGCGGTTCCCAGGTGATGTAAAGGGGTACCTGGTTGGAAGAAATTCCTTGAATGCTTATTCTTATTATTATGGCAGCTTAGTTTAATAATATGATACTTGTATTCAAGCGGTAGAGAGGCTGCGCTATATAAATTGAACTATGATAATATATTTATATACTATATATACATGAAGATACATTACATGATGATATATATATATTTATATACTACTTGTGTATCTGGTGTCGCCGAAGTCACTGACGTATTTGTGGTCTAGTGGTTAAAAAAAAAACATATTCATATGGTGTTTTATTTTCTCAATACCAGAGGCAGTACATATACTAGTAATCAAAATCATGCAATTTACATTATACTGACTTGACATCACATTCAGAATAATCGAAATACAATTCAAAAGTATAATTCTTAATGAACATCAATTGATAAACAAAACAACTCTTTCATACATTTCCTTATTCATTTAAAACAATAATAATAATAATAATAATAATGATAAAATACTTAGTCATTTCATGTTCATTTTTTTTCTTCTTTCAAAAACGCTTTATCAAAAAAGATGCTTGTACATGAAATATTATAGTCTTTAAATAAAATACAGTACTACCTCTGAAAAGAGAAAAACTCCCCTAGAGAGACAGAGATTAAGATAAGAAAGAACAAAAAAACAAAACAAAACAAAACAAAGCAAAGCAACAAAAAATACAAAGCAAATTTTAAAGCATAACACAGACTGAATATAATAAGCTATAGCGATTTAGTTTTTTTTTCTCCAGATGGCAATTATTTTGCTAAAGACATTTATTTGAAAGTGTAAAAACTTTCCCAATAAATTTCAAACAGACTTACATGTATAATTATGAAGACGTCAGTCACAGTAAATAACGTTTAAATATATGAAATATACATTCTGTTGTTTTTACGATAGCTAAATTTCTTTCTGTCTCTCTAGAAGCCACATGTTATACCTCGACTACGTTGCGCTCGTCATTGCTTGTTTCATCGTCCTCGTCGTCATCGTCTATGTGTGTCGGGAATGTTCATGTGAGTACTTCAAGCATGGATACACCGGTGGCGAGTCAAGGTCCAGCAGTGCCGACGATCTCCGTATCGTCCAGGACGACTCTCCACCCGAAACGTGTTCCTCAGTCGATATCCATCACCTGAGCCATCATAACTTCAGGGTGTTGGAGGAGTACTCACAGCGCATGGCCCAGGTCCTCCAGGGACCTCCTCCGTCTTACGATGAGGCTATCAAGGATCGATCTCCCGCTAATTATCATGGTACGGTCGGTCAGACGTCGACGGCTCCATCAGTTTCACAGCGCCCAAACGGACAACATGAAAATGATAGCGAGAGCGTCCCTCTTTTGCCGGGAAACCGATGACAAGGGCTTCAAACCTATAACAATGATTTATTTTCTGTAAACGATGATTATTATTCAATGTTTTCTATAACGAGAAGGAGACACTATTAAAAGAGACATTACAATCAATGACCTTTTAAAACTGTTCTGACTACGCATGTAGCAATCGTGGGGTCATTCACCTGACTCTCAATCCAAGAGTTGAGGGTTCGAATCCCAGCGAGGTACTAACGTCTTTTGGCAAAGCATCAATCTACATTAAAATGATGCCACTCTCCACCCAGATATAAACGGGTACCTGGCAATTCCTGGGGTAATAATAATTGTATCGCCCCAGGAAGAACAACATTGGTGCTGATGAGGCATGCCTTGGTAAAACAAATATTTGTTATACTGTTAATCATGATGAACAACTTCTCGGCTGCCTATTCTGGATAATTTACATCGACATGATTATCATCATGAAATTATATCGGCCAAAAGAATGACGGCCTATCTTCTGCGAAATGGGTCGAGCCAGTTTGGACAAAGAGGAGATCGGACAGGATATATTTGGAGGGTACATTTAGAGCATTATTGAATTGAATTGAATTGAATATATTTATTCATCACCATTGAAAACATTGAAAGAAATGACAATGCCAATATAACATAAATACATGACATGAATTATAAAAATAAATGTTCTACAGCGATATACATGTACATTATAAAAATATTTAAAAATAGTTATAAGTAAATTTAGTGTCAAGAGTAAAACAATTACTATTTACAATATTAGTTTGTGATCGATGGTAAATAGCACATGATTTTGCTAATCGAGTCTGACTCTCGTTGTCTAAAGCCTAAAATAAAGTTTATTGAAAAATAAACGATGGGTTTCCAAATCCTATAAATAAGATTGTATATAATATTACAATAAAAAAAAACGAGACTGGTTGCTATATACAATTATATAATTACAAGGTTATAATCCGTGGTTTTCACCTAAAAGTAATTTTGTAAGTTTTTTACGAAAAGAGGTTCTTGATCTCTCAATTCTAAGATTAGTAGGAAGCATATTCCAAAAAGTACTACCAACAAACGAAACAGAAAACTTTTCTTGGTCTGTTTTGATTAAAGGAAGACGTAATTGTCGACCCGTTTTTTTGTCTTGTGGAATAGTCATGTTGTATCATACTGCAATAATGTTTTAAGGAATGAGATAATCGTTCATTTATCAAATCGAACACAATTTTATTCAATAAATTGATTTTGTATCCTCAGGTGTTTTTTTCTCGGTTATATGATTGAGGATTCATAAGATGAATGAAAAACGTTTCATTGCATAATCATGGCGTCATGGCGAAAATATGATATTCACTCAATATGATAAGTGGTAGGTTAAAATTGCATACACGCTATGAAATCACGACATAGTTATGTATGTATGTGTGTTTGTGTGTGTGTCGCATGGTGTGTGTCGTGTGTCGCATGGTGGGGGGGGGGGGGGGTAGTAGTGTGTGGATGAGGGTGTTGAGAGCTCGAGCCCTCTCTCTTTTTTATAGAAAGAAACCAACCAAGGCACGGCCCCGGCATAAAAATTCTTCTTCTTTTTTCTCGGCAATATGCGAAACCACATTTACCTACATAAAAGCGTGAATTAGCAAACCCAAGTTCAGTAGAAAAAGCGCGAAAAAATAACGAATGCGAGAAGTAAAATGAAGTAAAAAGATAAATAATTTGTTCAAAGAAAACTACACACTTTTATCGCCAGAATCTGGGTAAAAACGCTCCATTCGGTTGCGCAGAAGACGAACTGTCAGTCAAAAATATTCTTTTTCAATCTGCGCATAGTTATATGCAAATTATACCGAACATGCACATCGTTTATTAGTGTCACAGATGGGTCGTATCGTTACTGTTATACTATATGGAAAGATTGGATAGATGTGCAAATCATTAAAATTGTAATCAGTATACGGTGCGAAAATGATTCTTCTCCACCTTCCGCAATTACCTACCGCTTTTGCATAATTTTTGCGTGGAATTTTTTCCTTTCTTATAAGTGCCCCTTTTCATCCCAGACGAGTGCCCTTATTCAAATTTAAGAGGTGCCCCCTTAACTATGTAATAAGTGCCCCTTTTCATTTCTGATAATTGCCCCTTTTTATTTTGATTCGTGCCCCTTATCCTTTCTAATTAGTGCCATTTTCCTTCTGATAATTGCACTTTTTCCGTTGTCATTAGTGCCTATTTTCATCTCTGGTGAGTGCCCCTTATTAAGTGCGAGGAGTGCCCCATTTTCACCTATGGTCTCCTTTTTACTTTGAAATATGCTCTTTTTCTTTTCTAATGAGTGTCCTTTTCCCTTTGGATATGTCCCCCTTTTCCTTTTTCCCATAAAAAGTGCTCTAAATTTAAAGCGATTAAGAGCACCTTTTACTTTAATTTCACCAAAATTGTATACGCCTTAGAACAATATAATATGGTGTAGCAGAATGTGTATGTTGATGGCAACCCAAAGAGGAGACTTTTCTCAGTGTGATGTTGTAGAATAACGCATGGTCCAGACACTCCCCCCCCCCAAAAAAAAAAAAATCGCCCTTAGATAAAACACGCCTTAATAAACATTTCAAATCAACTGTCTGCAAATAATGGCATACCGCTGAAGCTTCGAGGACATAAGAGGACATATTTTAATTTTTTTTTGGTCTCGAAATTTGAACATTTGACCGATCGACATTCCGTTCCGTTTAGGGGGGGGGGAGTTAGGTCATCTGTTTTTAAGTCATCCATTTGGCTTTTATTTATTTTATTTAAAAAATAAAAAAAAAAAATAAAAAAATACAGAGCACAATTTTTTTTTTTTTTTTTTTTTGCTCCCGAAAATTTGAAAAACGCGCCGGCCAAAAATTCGCTCAGTGGGGGGGGGGGGGGGGGGGGGGGGGGGGGGAGGGGAGGGGGTAGTGAGCACACTTTTTTTTTTGATCCTCAAAAAAATTTCAATTTGCACCCCCCCCCCTTGAGCGCCAGGGGGGGGGGGGGCCCAACCCCAAAAAAGGTAAAAAATCACGTGATTTTACATTATTTTTTTCTCAAGGGGGGGGGGGGCCGGGCCCCCCGGGCCCCCCCCCCCCCTGGATCCGCCACTGATCACCACCACCAGTGGCGTACGCAGGATTTTTTCAAAGGGGGGTTTTAAAATCAAAAGGGGGTTTTCCCAAAAAACATACATAAAACATACACATAAAAAAAACTCGAGGGGGGGGGGGGTTTAACCCCAAAACCACCCCCTGTGTACGCGCCTGACCACCACCACCCTCATCATCATCATCAACATCATCACCATTATCATCATCATCATCATCATCATCATCATCATCATCATCATCATCATCATCATCATTTCTCTTGTTTTTGTTGGGTGTTTCATTATTATGATCATAATCAATATACTGAAATTATTTATTGTTATTGTTATCATCATATAATGGGCCTACATTTTGGAAAAGTGGAAGATGAATAAATGTGTACATCAGAGTGTCCTGTGGAAATCCTACGCATATGGTGCAGAGATTATACCGGTGGAAATGTTCGCTTCCTCACCAAACGTGTAGTAGAGGTTGTATGTGATCATAGATTGAACCTTACAACCCTCACAAAATTCGCCCGATTCATTATGATCATCACTTCGCACAAAGTCTATAAAGTGGAGTTTATTATTTTATATTAGTTACCAAGGCTACCTTATAAGGATGATATTGTATAAAATTATTAATAAATAACAATGCAATATACTTGACAAAAGACTTTCGGTAAATAAGAGAGAAACATAAATAATGATTGTGAAAAATATGTGAGACGATTACATTTTGGGCCGATATTTTAGAGCGAGCTAGGTCACGTCGCTGACCGGGAATTCCCTATCAATGTTTATGTTTAGTCGAAGTGGGAGGAGATTTCTCTCGTGATCTGTTTTCAATTCAGGAAACAAGCAAGCATCTTATCATATGGAACCTTCGTGCATGAGCTGGAACATGGTTGCCGTTTAAGTTGGTACGTATGGATAATAAAACTGTTGATGAGACGGTGTAAAATCTCGAATAGGACTAACTAAGATTTAGCCTTTTTAGGAGTAGGATCTCCGATCTGTGCCTACGCTCCTGTGCATATGGCCTTTGTGGCGGAGCGGCTGTGCGGTCCTAGTGTACATTTTCGTATCCATTTTTGACCCGTAACTCCAGCGTGGATAGATCTATACCCTACTAAAACATACAAAAAATCAACTTAATCTTCATCAATTGTTCAAATAATGGTCGTGATATAAAGTCGTTATTTCTAACCCATTTTGTGTCAATGTCAAATCTTTTTGGGAGTATTTTTCATAAAAACAAAGATTTACTTTCTCACAGGTTTCACTGCTCAATTACAATCCAATTGCATACCGTATCTACTTCTACTTCTACTTCTATTCTACTACTTGTCAAAGCCTGTTCAGCATCTAGACAAGGGTGATCTTTTGCCGACGGTGGACGGCTTGTGTAAATTTGTGTCGAAATATATACATGTTTATGGTGCAAGTAAAATGATAAAAATGATAAAAATCGTATCGTATCAACAAAGGGCCAGGGTGCGGGCGCGTGAGCGTGCGTGATGTTATCGACTGTATTAATCGTCTAACCACTTGAAATTATAATTTGAAGAAGTCTTTGATAGATAAAAAGGGTGAGTCCTCGTCTTAACCCTATTCATCCATGTTGTAGTATCATTGATTCACCATGGCAAAGAGAAAGTATGCATGCCTGGTAACGGCGCAGCAAATACAAATTTTCACGCTATAGAGCGCCATTCGCTCCAAATTGCTGAATATGCATGACTCAAAGAATAAGAGCTCAACCTTGTGCATATATTGAATGCCGTATGTAGATGTAATATTTGTATAATATCAAGCCTAGTATCTATTATTTTAAGTCCATTTCCTTCACAGAATCAACATTTGCTTTTTGAGGAGAAAGGCCACAAAGTAAACATCATCATGGCACTTGGTAGAGCACCAAAGATTATTTCAGAGATGAAAGGTAATTGTGAAGTACTTCAAGTAGTTTTTGACAACTATTATAGTGCAAAGTGATTTGATTCCTGCCAAATGGAATTTTATTTGATATTTTAATGAGTAAGAATTGAAAGACCTATTTCTTTGTATTCTGATGTATGATTTCGAGGATACAATATCCTGGCTACATATCAACACTTAACATTCAATACTTTTGATAATAATTACGAGAATTTGTGTGCTATTAACACAAATACTTCTTACACTATTACAGAGAATTCAGATGATATGCTACATGTACTTCCTGATTAGTTTATTTTGTACACCAATGGTATGGTTGATTTATTGAGATATAACCCAAACAAAATCCAAGATTCTAAGTCTTAAGTGATTATGCTTTCCATCCACCCAGGTGTAAATGGGTACCTGATATGCTTGAGCGCTATTTGGCAGCTCGGCTACGACCAGGGTAATATGTGTAAAGTGCTATGAGCGTCAGAACCTGACGGATACCGGCGCTATATAAATAACCATACTATCATTATTATACAGAATATATCCAAGACCTGAAGAGGAATTATGAGGAGACTCAGCTGCCTGTTACAGATGACAGTGTTCCTCTTCACAAGCTCTGTGCAAAGCTGGAGTACATGCTGCAGATTGACATGAAGCGTATGTAAAATTCTCTATTGTTTCATGATTTAATTTTTTGTGAATCGGCAAGTGCTAAATCATGTTATAAAGATGCCAAATGTAATTGATGGTATTTGTTGAACAACAAGCAGAGGTATTGTCTGCTGGGAGCCAGAAAGGAAGTATACTGATACCATTTGTCACATAGTCAGATCACTTCTCCCTCTCAACAGATGATAAAATTGATCCTACAAATCCATGAGGATATATATTGATACATGTAGATTGACAAAGTTACATTTGAGTTCAATTGATCATTTTCAAGTCAAATATCTGGTACATATGTTCATGTGCCTGTATATGGTGTAAACACACATTTTATTCTTACATGTAGGTAAAATATAACAATTTATGAGAATAAAGATAATTGTGACACTTGCAACCCACCGACATGTACACAATTGATTGTAGGAGGCTAGGCGCATTTTAATAATATAAGATCATGTTTGTGCCTAAGTTTATATTGTATGTAAGTTATGGGAAACAAATTTTTGTATTATGATGGACAATAAAACTTGAATCTTGAATATGAATAGAACCCAAATATTGAAAGGTAGTGATTGTCTTTGGATGAACTCTTACACACTCTTTCATTACCAGTTGTCCACAGAAGTTTTATCATCTACCTCATGTTAACACAATGACTATTGCATGGTATAAATCACCTTTATACAGGGACTATCCTCTTCTGACAAGGAATGGGTAAAAAAAAAAGCAGAAAATGTTTGTGAAAATTGAGAAGTTAAAAACCCTTACTGTACTGGGGGGGGCCTGGGAGGCCCCCCCCTCGACATTTTCGAAGATTGCGCCGCAACGCTTGGAATTTTGAATTGTCGTTTCATGACTTTTTCCCCTCAAGTCTTACGCACATTTTGATACCATTTTCGTCGAAATCGGATATACCTGTAAGGCGTTACATAACAATTAGTATGCGCATGTCATAAAAAAAAAAACCCAAAAATGAAAATCGCATCAAAATTTGCATAAATTATCATTATTAATTACATTAAAATAACTTTTTTGTGTTAGAAAAGAAGTTTCATATGAATAATGAGTTTCAACATTCAAAAAGTGGAGTTTGACACGTTTTCGGTAAAATGCATAAAATTACCGCATTTTGCATAATTAATTAGGCTAACGAGAAAAATTTGCATATTCGGAAAAAAATAATATACCATCTTGTTCCTTACGTAAATATCTACAAACATGCAAATTTTCGTGTTCATCGGACAATCGACGGCCGAGATCATAGGGGGGGGCCTCCCAGGCCCCCCCCAGTCAGTGGGTGCTCAAAATAGCCCAGTACAGTAAGGGTTAAGAAAACTGCTAAATTGATCGCTATGTATTAAATTTGATTGCTTTCTTCACCAAGTACAGACAAATTCACATACAAATGTAAGATGTCGGTAGCAACACGTTGTTATTTCCTGAGGATCTTTATTTTATTATTTTTGTCTTTCAAATTGATATAGCGTCTGCAAGGTCCGGAATGTTTGCCAGCAAGAGAGACTACTGGGATTATATCTATCAGTGTCTCTACAAGGTCAAAGGTCTTGATGATGGGATTAGATTTGTCAGAGCTAAGAATGAGGTAAGTTTCTCATCATAAAGCCTCATTCCCATATGATGTTGTAAATCCCCCCCCCCCTCCCCGAAAAAAGCATCTTAATATTAAAGGACATAACCATTGTGGACCTCACATTTCTAAATCTTATCACACAAAGATAAGTGAATGTGCGTAGGAGCCTTTGTTTTGCTCATGTATTTTTGTCTCCCTATTTCTCAATCAATTACACATAAAAAGAATCCTGCCACATTTAACCACAGCAGCTTACTGCGTCATATGTAAATGGTAGGTTTAGTTATAAATAGGTTCATGTTCATCATTCGCTTTGTGATGATATTTCATGTTTTGTAAATTACTTGGTTTGTACAGACTACCCTGTTTCATCAGCTGCCCTTGTTTAAAGAACAAATTTTAAAGATAATATCTTTGTCTCTCTTGAACATTTTTTTCCACTGTTTATGAAAATGATATATATATGTTGATTTTTTCTCGAAACTTCAATATGTTTTGTAAATTTTTATTCTCAGCATGATTAAAAGTTTGGAGACTCTAGTAATCTCTGTCATTTTTGTTCATGCCTCTCATTGCTCTCTACAGGTGAAAACATCCCTAGGACGTGGCAGAGCATTTATCCGTTACAGCTTGGCCCATCATCGGCTTGGAGATAGTCTGCAGCAGTGTTTTAATAATCAGAAAGTTACACGGTAAGAAAAGAAAGGGATAATGGTGAAATGTTCATAACCACCTTTTTTATTAAAAGCCCTGTAATTGAAAAAGGCTATTGTAAAACAATGTTTTGGCCATTGGCTGTGCATGCATGATTTACTTATCCTCTGTAAAACAATTTTTGTCAATGGTTCAGCTATTCATGGTTATTTGAACTTAAAGCAAATTCCATTTGGTTTCCAAATTATTCCTAAAAATGCTCTTAAACTGATACACATACTGTTACATTTGCCTCTTGTGATGTGCCACCATTACAATGCTAAAAGCCTGGCATAGCTGTAAATGATATGGGCACGTTGGGAATATATTTGTTATGAAGTTAAAGGTTCAAGAATGATTGCATTTGAGAATACAGGAACAAGAGCAACAACTATATTTTGCTAGTGTGGATGCTGCCTATTCACCTTGTCTTTGTTTTCCTATGATCTTTCTGGCTTATAAAGTGTAAGTGTGTCCTCCAAAATTGAATTAAAATTTTCTCTTCGCAATTTTTATTTTTACAGCACATGGTACAATCCTAATTCACTAGTGCTCAACCCTAGCCTCTATGGTCCCTTGGTTAATGACCTATATGACCTCAATGACCTACAATTTGACCTAGCTCCATCAGGTCATGACCTGGATGCATCATGGCCAACACACTCGCGTCATGTGATGGGTCCTTCAGCAGGGATGTACAGCTCATGGCAGCCACCTAGTCGGACAGAGAGTCTTAGCAGCTTAAGCTCACAGGTAAGTGCTTGGTAGAAAGAAAGAGAAGTAAACTTGGATACCCGTACAACTTTGGACCGCCTTTTGCATCATTTTAAAGAACATTTTCTTGAGATGAAATGATAGAGCTACTTCTTGTAAGTTTTTAATTTCATTAAGGCAGGAACGACAATGACAGCAGTTTGTTTTTTGCAAGACAATACATCTGCAATTGCCTGAAGATTTCAATATTTCCAATGATATCTAAAATAAAATGCTCAAAATTATTCCCCTCTTTGTTCTCTATATATTTGTTGACTCAGCCGAGTACACTAGATGGCTACCCCAGTCCCACAGCAGAGTCCCGTCCAACCATAGGAGAGGAGAGGGCATTACATCAAGCACAGTCAGAGTTAGAAGAATGTGAGCAGGTCAATCGTGAATTACGCAAACGCATCGTTCAGCTAGAGAGTGAGAACGATGATATGCATCGTCTCGCCATGGAAACGGAGGAACGAATGAGTAGCATGCAGTCAGAATTGGAAAGAAAGGTATGGAATACAGGATTTTAATGTGAAAATCTGTATGAATGATATATATCATTATTGCATATGAACAGATTCATGCTTTAGTTGCTGTTGTGTATTCTGATGTCAGAAAAGAGAGGTCTGGAGGCATATTATTTTTCTCAATTTTTCAGCAAAAGACAAGTTATTTTCAAGGCACTATATGCTTAGGGCTCCTGTCATTAATGATTTGTTTGTGACCAATTCTTTTTAGAGGTTTTAATGAGCCACAAGTGTAGCTTACTGTATCAGATTCAAGCTTACAGTGAAGGCACGTTTGAGCATGTCTTGTGATTTGACTCCGTTTTGGTTAGGTTTGATAAGGAACTATAAGTCACACTCTTTATTTTCCACATATAGGTGCAACAGCTGCAGTATGAGCTAGAGAAGTCTTCCAAAGAATCCTTAGATATCACTGAGAAGATGAACAGGTCAGAGGAGAACTGGAAGAAAAAGATAGAAGATACAGAGAAGGTGAACAGCGATTTGTGTAGCAGACTAGAAGCCACAAACCTTCAGCATGGCAGCCAAGCCAAGCTTTGGCAGGAAGCAGAGCGTGATCACCAATCTAAGCTGATCGAGGCAGAGAGGGTTCTGGCTGAGGTCAAGGTTGAACTCACTGGGGTCAAAGGTGAGCTTGCAGCTATCAAAGGAATGGAGATGAAGAAAGATAAGACCGTTCAGAGCCTGGAGGAGAAAGTCAGTGCCATGGAGATTAAGAATGTAGAACTGTTTGAGAAGATGGAAGGGATGGTGGAGAGCAAAGATGCAGAGGTGTCAAACCATCTACAGTCTGCAAACAAAGTGCATGAACTCCTGGATAAGCTGTCTGAAGCTGAGAGCAAGAACCAAGAGCTGCGTGGAGAGAAGGGTGCCTTGAGACGCCAGATTGACCTCCTGGAAGACAATCGCAGCTCACAAGAAACAGATATTGTGGCCAAAGTGGCAGAACTTGAACTGGTCGTCTCAAAGAAGGAAACTGAGGTAAAGTCATGGGTGAGAATATTGCAGCTCAAGAAGTAAAACATGAAAACTTGGTTCAGGAACTTCAGGCAACCATTAGTGCTCTTACAGATGAAAAGTTAACATTAAAAAGTGATTTGAAAGAGCAACTGCAGAAGAGAGATGATTCAAGTAAATCTTTAGAATCAACGCAAAGTGAGCTTCTCCAGTCAAAGACAGCCATAGTCAGCATGCAGCAAAAGTTGGTTGAACTTCAGAAAGACACTGAAAGGTTAAGAAAGGAACTACATGCTGCTGGTGTTCAGAATGAAGCATTGAAGGCACGCATAAAACATACCGAGGGGGTTTGTCAAGAAAGGCAGAAAGAGATCGATGATTTGGATAAGGAAATGAAGGAACAAATATCCAAATACACAGAGGTTAATGGGCTCCTTAAGAAAGAGAGAGAAAGGACTTCCAGTCTTGAAACACAATTTAAGGACAGCCAAGACAAAGTAAGTGAAGTAGAAATGGAGAAAAAGAATATAATGCAACAATTGGAAAATGTACAGAATATTCTGTCATTTGGGGAAGAATCCAGTATTACAAGAGAGTCTTTACAGGGGAGCAGTGATGAACCTGATAGCTCTGATCCCAAGGGAACTTTGATTAGTCAGCATTTAACAAGGATGGTTTCACAGAAGAATGATGCATTGCAATCAGTCAAAGAATTGCAGTTAGAGAACCAAAGGCTATCAAAAGAAGTGAAGACATTGACTGAAAAAAATATGCATGATTCAGAGGATGCTAGTCATACAGCAGATCAAGTTCTTAAAACTGAGAAAGAGTTGGGTGCCCTGCAACAAAAACTAGACAACATGGGAAAGATGCTAGAGAGCAAGGAGAAAGGTCTACAAACCCAGAGCATTGAGAGGCAGAGGATCGAAGGCCAACTCCAAGAAGCAATGAATGAGAAGGAACAGTTGGAGACAGACATAGTGAGGTTACGTCTAGCGATTGACAGCAAGGACAAAGAGCGAGATCTCCTGATTGTAGAAAAGACAAAACTGGAGTTGGCTAGAGATGGATTGGAGAAGGATCTATTGGTTAGTAGACAAGAAAAAAATGAAAAGGAGAAGAAATTGAGAGAACAGGGAGAGGTGATATCACAGTTGATGGCCGATATTGAACATTTGAAAACACAGAAGCAGGAGGCGGAGGAAGGGAGGGATGGAATCCAGAAGCAACTAAACAGGGAGAGACTTACCACAAGGGAGCTTGAAGACACAGTGGAAGATCTCAAGAGACTTCAAGAGGAAACTGTTACATTAGAACAGGTGAGAAAAATTGCTCTTGAAAAATACTTTTGACAAAGACTTCATCATCCCTTTTTTATTAGTCACAAGTCTGAAAATGTCCCAAATGAAAGATCACTATTGAAGTATCTTCCATTAACATAGGTGTTTGATGTGCTGTAACTCTTGGAATTTGTAATGGAGAATTTGGGATATTCAATTGAAATTTACAAAGGGGAAATTTTGATTATACAGAAAAAGAATTGTAGGAAGGTGTGATCATATTGCATCATAGATATTTCTGGTAATACGCAGGAGTATTGTGAATTCTTTTCAAAGACAAATATGCTAAAACACTCATTTCCATGTGAATAAATAATTTGATAAATATGGTATTTCTGATACAATGTATTTAAACAAGATTTCAAAGAGGTTTGATGCTGTTACTTTTAAAGGTTTATGAGGAGCGAAAGACAAAGATGACGCAGGAGCATGGAGACAAAGTAGAGTTCTTGACTGAACAGTTTCAGCTCTTAAAAGAGGAGCAAGAAAAGACGAGTGGAGAAAGACTTCACTACCAGGAGCAAGCAGAAGATCTGAGCAAGGAGTTGGATGACGTCAAAGAGAGATGTGAAATCTTGGAGACTGAGAATAAGGCTGTGAGAGGTATGTACATCTATTTACAAAAAGGAATCTACTGAATCTCCAGGAATTGTATTGTCTATTTAGTCTTACTTCTAATAAAATGAACTCTCATCATGCTTTGGTTGAATTTCCAGAACATCTTACCCAGTGCTTAAGACAACTTTTGGCATAAATACAGTATCCCTGGAACAGTACACACAAAGCATCTATGGATTATAGAATATTTATATGCCAATAAATTTGGCAGTCAGAGATTCAGTCCCTGGCATACATAGAGTTAGCATGCGATACATCCCCTTGTTTTTATTCGTAATCAAATATCTTATAATCCATAGTTCTGAAATGAGGAATATTCTACTCAAGCTTTCACTTCCAAGATGGGGTTTGTGTGGTGTATGGGAAAGGAATGGCTTAAATGTCTTATGCTTTATAGAATCATACAACTAAACTTATTCTAATATTCATAAAAAAATTCTTAACCATTTTTTTTTTCTTCTCATTTCAAAGACAAAAATAATGACCTGAACTTGGAGATCTTGCGCATGCAGGAGGAGGTGGAGCTGTCTAAGACCGAACGTAATGAGATCACAGAGAAGCTGGAGCAGGTCAGTACGGAAACCTCCAGGAGCCTACAGGAGACCAAGCTAGAGATGGAACAGCTCCAGGGCAAGGTGGAGGAGGAGCAAGAAAGATCCAGGATCATTCAGAAGCTAGAAGGAGCCCTTGAGAAGGAGAAGGAGAATGTACAGGTTGCGGAGGCGAAGGCACAGGGAGCCGAGGAGGAGACACAGAGGGTACAGAGTACGATGAAGGAGGAGATTTCGGGACTCAAGTTTCAGCTGAGCTCTGAAGCTATGCAGTATCAACAAACCCTACAGGTAATAATGGATTCTCGGATATCAAGACTTGTAATTCACACACTGCCTGACAAAGAGATTTCAGCATTTGTGATTGAATTAATTTGTTTGGCAGTTTATGAAAAAAGGGATATGATCAATCATGCAATATTGCGATTGTGATAAATTTCTGAAATCTTCTGTATCTTTTAGTAATTTAATGAGTATTTTCCATATTGCATCCCCTATTTGAAAAAAAACATTATCAGTGCTAGGTTCAGTTTTTGAGGTTGACTTTATACATTCTTGTTATACAACAATTATTTTTGTAGGTAATTGGTACATGTTAAAGGTGAAATTCAAAGAAAATCACAAATATGTCAACTAATGTATGACTAGAAACTGGTAATCTAATAGATGGCCATAGTACAAGTTATAGGTCAACTACATATCGGGTGATTTATAAAAAATACAAATACAACCATAGCAGCTGGGATATACCAGAGATTCGCCGGAAAAATAACGATGTTTTAATGACGTCACTATATGGACCAACACTGCCCAAGGAGACAACATCCCATAGAGAATGAACATAATTGCAAACCAATATTTTTCAAATTATAATGAGTTTAGTGTATATAAATGTAATGGCATGTCAAACCATTCAAAAGGGGATATGGCCCGATTCTGATAACTAAAATCTTTTGCTTGTAAATACACAGGATAGGAGTTAATTAACAATCAAAGAAACCAGACTTTCAAATTGAAAACCCCCTGGAATGAATTTAAGGACGCATTTGTTCCCTCTTGAAACGCCGAACATACCCCGGTGTGTGCAGCTGAATATACAATGTTTTGTTATTTTGTTTACAAGCGACAGATTCCTTTATTTTGTATCGCTGCATTTGTCATCAAAATAAACCCATGCACTGGGTTTAGAGTGAGGCAATAGATTATACATTTAGCCTGACGGTAGTGAAGGAAGAGAAAGAACTCAAGAAAAGATGAAAACACAGGCACTGAAAATGTGTGAGATGTCATGGGGCATCGTCTGCTTGTGCAAGTCATGTCCATACTGTGATCTCACACATCTCAGCAGCATTTGGAGAGCTCTTCCGGTGCTATGCCGGGGCTGTATTTAAGCATTTTGAAATTTATAATAATCATTACTTTGAATGTTTCCAAGCATTGAATTTTGATAACCTTGTCGAATCAAAGTTTCAACTTTGCAATAATGAAAATAAATTTAGTTTTTAAAATCAATGAATATCAACTTTAAGTACAGTTCAATTACTACTTTAACTCTCTCTTGTATTTCTTGTAAATTATTTGTTAAATATTTGATTGTATGAAATGATTATGAATTTGTTGTAGGGATACCAAGAGCAAGAGAGTGATCTTGAGAACTTGAAGGTACAGAGTGAGGAGCAGCATGAAACAATCCTGGCACTCAGCAATGAGATAGAGACTGTTAAGAAACAGAGCAATCAAGATAAAATCAACTTTCAGAAGAAGGTAACAAGGAAAAATAAAAGATTACAATAGCAATGTTATGGATTAGAATCTTCTGTTAAAAGGTATGGGTAACATATAACTCCCATTCCTGCATCACAGACAGAATATTGAGTTTGATGTGGAAAAGTGCAATTTGTCATTCATGATCTAGATGCAAATTATATGTATAGGCAATTTTCATAATGCATTCATATGTAATGCATATGTATGTTTTGGTGCCAAAAGGCTTGTTGACATATAAGCTGAGGTAAACACAGTTTACCACATGGTTTTTGTAATAGTAAAAAGTGAACTGTACTTTGTATCTTTGTATCTTATATATATAAGTGAGCATGCATAAAACCTACATGTATGTTGAGCATGCTAAGTTTTTCATCCCCATTTATTATTCAGTTACAAATAGTACACAAAAACCCACCTGCATATGTGAACAGGTCTTATGTGACGGAGTATGACATTTTCCTGAGTTATTATATTTCAAATTGTACACATTTTGATGGTGCTAGTTTGGAATAAGACATGATTTAGCCTATACATGCAATTGGCATTCTGGCTACTGGAGTACATCGTCGTGTACTGTATTAAACAAGAGAATGACCTTGTTCATCACGAAGAAAACATGCATTAATTAGAATGCATTGTGAAAACCCAATGCACTTTTTCATTTTATTTTCACTTTGTGTCATTAAAAATAATTCTTTTCCAGTCAGCTGCTAATTTAGATTCAATTTTTGAATGTTTTCTAGTAAATGTCACCCTTTTGAATGTCTGCTTCAATTTGCACAAGTCATTTTAATTAATCATGATGTATATTTATTTAATCCTTAAAGGTACTATGTCCCTTTTGCAGCCAACCTCAAATTCTGTAGAACTTTGCAGGAATTATGAATATGTCATGTATGTCCTATCTGTGAAATTTTAACGTTAGCAGTGTCCTCATATTCAAATTATGCAAAGAAATCTGTTTTCTTGCTAGACTTCACTGTCAGACACTATTGAGTGACTGACTGGCTTTTTTTCTTCTTTGGTAATAACATACATGAAAGGAGTTGTAAAGGGTGCATGAGCATTTGTCTACATCAATTACCCACTTCTTGTGATGGCCAAGATTAAACTGATTGAATCTTTGTGCAGCATAAAACGTATGACCATTCGGTACAATTGTCTGAAAATCAAGACTATTACTTTTGGGCTCTATAGCCCTAAAGTCGATTTGACAACTAATAGTCGTTATTTTCCCACTTGAAGACATTTTCAAGCCCCACCTTTTTTAGGGAAGTTCTCAATTAGTATCATCTTTCAAATGCAGTTGAAATTTAACTTTTTCATTTTTTTGGCCTGCAAATGGGACATAGTACCTTTAAATCATGAGTTGCCTTTCCAATGCCAATGCCCTAGGTGATGTTGTATTGTAATGAATACTCAAAGAGTGTCATGTCTAACTACATACCGCACCAAAGTATCATTTGATGTTGTTATTTGTTCTAAACATAGCCCACTCCCACCCCCTAGGAAAAGATGAAAAAAGTGCTTTATTAAAATGTTTAAATCATTTGCTGTAAGAAACTAGTTGTCACAACCTGTCTGTTGCTTTCCCTGAATCCTCTCATAGCTTTAACATAGCTGCCAACGACTCCTAATTTAGAGGACTGATTCCTATAATTTGGCCTACACATTAATGTAAAGGACCCTAGAACCAAAGATTCCCCCTTTTTCTTTAAGGCCCGGTCACACAGCCCTCCACGGGCGTATCGCGGCCGAATCACGGCCAAAAATTTCTGCCCGTGAAGCAGACGCTGTTGGACGCTTTGAGGTCGCGATAAAGACGCGATACAGCCGTACTTTACCCGTCGTTACACGCGGTAAGAAATTCACACGCGGTTGGCCGCGCGAAAAAGTTTTGGGCTGCCCAAAAATTTAGACCGCGGGTAATCGCGGGCGGTACACGTGGTACACACGCGGTAAAGACGCGGTACAGACGCGGTACAGACGCGGAACGAACGTGCTAGGACGTGCTACGGCCGCGGTTAAGACGTGGTTACACGCGGAATTGGACGCGAAATTTTAGCGGGTAATCGCGGGTGGAGCACGGTCATATCACGTTTGTTCCGCGTCTGTACCGCGTTGTTATCACGTGCATTAGCGTGTGTACCGCGTGTAAGCGTGGTAGGCCGCGGTACCGCCGCGCTTCACCCGCGATAAGGACGCGGAACAGTCGCCGGCGTCTGTTCCGCGGGCATACCACGGGTAAACCGCGGGTAAGCCAATTTTGCACATTTTTCCACCACGGGCAACCGCGGGCAAAATAAAATCGCGAAATTTTACCCGCGATACAGACGCGAAAGGCTGTGTGACCGGGCCTTTAGTAGGACTGTGAAAAAGCAAGCAAAATGCATTGTATTCCTCATTTTGTGTGGAGAGATTTCTACTCTGTGCAATGGATCGATGGCAGCTATGCATTCAATGATTATTCATTACATGTCCCATCCCTCACCCACCAATCATCCAATCAAATACTGCCTTCTATACCTGCTCTATTGCTTGACCAATCAGCTCTCAGAACAGGAAAATGAAGTTGCAAGGCAAGAGAAGCAGATCACCATACATGAAGCCAGTGTTGAAGAGGTAATGCATGTCTTTAACAACACCCTAACATGATAAAAAAAACAGAGGTTTGTTCTTTTGTAAGTGCAGTATAAACTAACAGCAAAAAGTTAAATTCATTATACTGACCTACCTGTAGAGACTTGGGTCATGTAGCCATTATTAATACTCATAAAGTTATATTTGAGGACCCCCTAATATTTCTAAGCAAATATATGTAATTCTTCCTTTATATTACATGTAGATATGTGTACATGTATAATTGACTGTATTTGTACATCCATACAAACAGTATTGAATATTCCTTTTGTTATCTGCATAAATATTTGTAGATATAACTACCAAATGCCACATCACTTCTGATAAACCTTAAATGCTCCTGGATGTGTTCTTAAAAAAGAATTGTTCCCCCCCCCCCCCCCCCCCAAAAAAAAAAAAAAAAAATTATGCTGTGTTTGTTTTGTGATTTAATATGTCTGGTAACATTTTGATTTAGCAACATTGTAAGCTGGTATTTAGTTCCATCTGTTTCGATTGTACTAACCCATATCGTTTTGTAGATGCTCCTTTAATACTATACAACTTCATGTTTATGTCATTTGCATGTATGAAAACAAGCAATCTCATGTCATGAATTCAGTTTCTAAAATTCATTGTAGCTACATTTATGTGTCTGGTTTATTACTTTATGCAGTTTTTGTTTTAAGTGTTTGATTCTATCAATTGCAAGCACATTCACTCATTCAGAATAAATAACACTTTTTTTTAATTTGAAAGAGAAAGACCAAAACTGTATGTTGTAACGCATTATGTTATGATCCATTTCCTTTTCAAACTTTTTACAGCAGACCATGCTATTTTGAAGGTCTCACTGTTATTTTATAATGCAAACTTTTCCTCGTTTATGTCTGTGTATCATGCTAATATTCATAAATATTTGCACTAATAAGCTTTCAAACAAAATATAACGTGTACCGAGGCTATGTAGAGACAATGTTTGCCCAAGTATTTAACTGTGCATATTGATTCTGAGCATGTAAACATGTGACTATTTGTGCACTTTATGGCAACATACTTATAAATTCACATGATTTCATCAGAGTGAGTATTTCACATTGCCTTAAACGATCGGTTGAATTACGTTTCTTGATGTGTCAGTGCCAAAACAGAAATTTAATTTCCATTGGTATATGTTAAAAACATTTTATATTACACAGTTTGTATTCTAGCTGGTCAAGACACAAAAGATGGCTATTACAATAAAAAAATAAAAAATAGCATGGTTACAGAAAGGCAGAAGTTAAAAAAATAATCATGTATACCAATATATGAACATTGTGTGTTGAACAATGTACATAATAATGACTTCTACTGGCAGTGTACATTTTCCATATGTAGGCTAGCAGTAAAATATTAGCAGATTTGTACTTCCCAATTAGGTAGCTGACATATATTAAGCATGCCGACTATCACATGTAGTGTGATGTAAATGAAGGCCTCATATTTATCTTGTTGACCAGATGTTTGTAATGATAACAAAGTTATGAGGCATCATGTTTCTCAAATGTTGATATTCATCCTTCCTGATTAACTCATTATGTGTTTGAAAACAGGAAAACAGAATCTTGTCAAATATGGTCTGCACAATTACTTGTGAACATCTCACAGGCTTGCTATTTCTCTCTCTCTCTCACTCTCTCTCTCTCTCTCTCTCTCTCTCTCTCTCTCTCCTCCCTCCCTCCTACCCACCCACCCACCCTCTCTCTGTTTTACTTTTAGGCTAATTTCTCATTCTTTTGCATTTCTCTCTTGTACAGTTGTCAAGATGCCTTGAAGAAGAAAAGAGAAAAAGTGTTTCCGTACAGGTGCGTATTACTTCTTTAAGATACTTGTTATTTGATGTCATTTCCTATGAACATGAACCGTTTATGACTGTTACCCGACAGTTTGAAAACCAGAGTTTCTAATTTGTATTCTCTGTTTCTTGATTATCAATGTCATTAGCAATTCAGATTATTTATGATTTTGTGGTATTATTAAAATTTGAAATTTGACAAGGGTTTGTATAAAACTTTAAAAAGAAATTTTCTCAGTTACAAAAGAATGACAAACATTTTAATGAATGCGTAGACAATTGAGTGGGCTTATTGTCCATGATAGTTAATATTGATATTCTTTCTGGTAGGAATTTATTCCTTGAAATGCTAGAGCGCCATATGGCACCCGTGCTAAAGCCAGGGTAATAATCGGGAGCGCCAGGAGGGTCAAATCTGACTGACATTATTATTATCATTATTTATTATTACTTATGTAGGGGTTTCCAAGTTTCATCCATTGATAGTACATGTAGTAATCAGAAATTCCTTTAAGATATAAATGGCATGATAGATTCATATAGGAAGCCTTTTTAATATACTTTATTCTGTATATATTTTGATTTTCAGTCAGAGGTGTTGGAACTGCGGAATGCGAATGGTAGCCGAGTCGCCAGTTTAGAGGAAGAGCTTGCATTGGCTCAAGATGACAATGAACAATTAAAGAAACAGCTTGTCAAACTCATCAAGTAGGTACAATCTTCAAAATACTTTAGGGCAATTAGTGTTTTGTTCAGTCTTTGTACCATACTGTATAGCTAAACTTATATTGTGATTGTTTTCTCTCTTGCATTTGATTTTTCACTGGCTCTCACCTATCTTCTTCTGAGTCAAGGTTGTTGTTCCATATATCTATTTTATTTCTCTTTTGTCATGCTCGTATCCCTCTTTTTTTAGAGAGTAGTCTTATGAAATAAGGATTAAAATTTGAGCAGTGTAATATCAGATTCTTGAATATATGCACTAGTCATTCTGTTTTGCATAATACCCAAACAATAATTGACTATGTCAGGGGATGAATCTGAAAGCAAAGTAAGACTTACACAGTGTATAAACGATTTAAACGTCATTGATTACAAATCGATGTGTTTATGTATTTGTGATGTTTGTGTTTTCAGGGAAAAGGACACTCTATGGCAGAGGACTGAGAAGCTGGAGTATAATAGGAAGATGAAAGCATCTGAGAGATGGATGGATGATAGACAGGTTAGAAAACAACACCCACGATTTAAAGAAAACAAATGACATTCATTCTCTATTTCTTCTCACTTAATAATCAGTCAATAAGAAGTCACATGGATTAATAAAGTGCTTCTTTCAGGAATTTGAAGTAATTGATAAAAAACAATGATTAAAATGGGAATGATTATACTGCTCTTAAGACAGACATTGTTGTGTTAATTGGTGTACATGCATAGTTATATTAAAGATGTAAAACTCTTTATGAATGACAAAAACAATGGTGACTTGAAAGGGTGTTGATAACCATTTTTCAGAGTGAAGTCCTGATTTTTGACAAGGGGGATTTGACACAAGTTATGGATAAATAGGCCTGTTGAGATGAAGGCATAATGGTAATGGTTTATTTTTATTTTTTAAAGTGTGCATCGCAGACCGGAGGCTGAATTGTACAGTGTCTTTTACAAAAGTATTTACATGATCTGAAAATACACTTGCTAGAATCATAATAGTAGAAGTAAACAATATGTATGCATTGGTAAATTACTCCTGAGTGCAATAGACACATATGAGTCTACCATTAAATGATTAGTATGTTTTAAATATCATCATTATTATCATCCTGTGAGTGTTACTGCTCTCCATCTCGTCCAGTATGTATCCAACTCCAGGTCAATTTCTCTACCATCTTCCTTAATACAATCTACCGGTATCCACATCTTCTTGGGTCTTCCATTCTTTCTCTCAAGCTGCCCATCTAAATCAGTTGATCATCATCTTTCCTCTTCACGTGCCCATACCATGTCAGTCTGCTCTCTCCAATCTTCTCCTTATCCCTGTCTCTTGTACTTCCCTTTACACTTTATATTGAGATGAAGTGGGGTCTGTTGGTCCTGATGGAGGATAGTAAATGAGACTGTCTGACTCCTTGATAACTCTATACCCAATTCATTTACAGCCTCTCCTCATATCAAGATATCTCAAAGAATTATTGCATTGTACATAGTAGATTAGATGTAGAGATAAAATACAAGTCAAAGCAAGATGTCTCATTGGAATATAAATTTCAAGAAGCATGATGTTTTATACGTTTACATTTTTTTCTTCTTCAGGTTACTCAGTGCATGTCGTGTTTATGTGAGTTCGGTCTGACTGTAAGGAAACATCATTGCCGTCTCTGTGGAAGAATCTTTTGTGCAAAATGTACAAGCTTCTTTGTGCTTACCTCCCATAGCAAGTAAGATGATGTCTGAGAATATCAAGTTCTCAAAAAAAATTCCAATTATTTGAAATCTTGCCACAGAAATGTCTTATCTAATCTGAATGTCTTCGACATTCTAAAATCTTTCCCAAAATACATCTTACAACTGCATTAAGATTGGCATTCTGACATGTTTGCATTACCAACAATTATTTAGTGAATATTGGAAACAAACATTTTTGAAACACCTCTAGTTGTCAATTAACAAATCTACATGTATATTCAGTATGATGTATAATACACTCTTGAAGTTGTTTGATGTATTAACTTTACATATATGTTTAAGAGGTCAGATGTTATGTGACCATTTTTAGGAAACAATATATATACTTTTTATTTTCAAACATCAGTGTAATAAAAACAAATAGCCCTGAAGTATTTGTCATGCAATGGTTCCTTAAAATGAGAAATTTGCATCCATACACATGATGATCGTATATCTAGATGTAAGAGGATAACTTGATTGTTTACATTCCCATCTATCTATCTTTATGAACCAGGAAGAAAAGCCGTGTCTGTGAGCAGTGTTACGTAGGTCATCAGCACTCCCTTGAGGCTGCTAGCATCAACACCTCCATCATCTCCACTAACTCCTACGAAGATAATCTGGATGATGGTCCTCCCAATCAGAGGACGGAGGACGTACCTGGTGGGTCCAGCTATGTCGCTAGTGATGAGGGCATGTCTGATGTGATGTCAGAGAGTGTCAACAGCGAGCCGGTCAGGATGGAGGATGTCGATGAATCGCTGAGGATTGTGGGAATGAATGCGATAGCCCAGGGTGACGAGTGAGTACATTAACTTCCTCATACTCTCAGTAGAAAGAATGTAAAAGGGAAAAGGAATGATTTATGAGTGGGCAATTGATTGAAAAAACATACATTTGACAAATGTTTTCAATCATGCGTGTAGTTGTGAAATGATATCAGTAAAAATTAATCTAATTTTTTCATCCATCTGATTATTGTATTACCATTGTTGTAATTAAAACAAAACAGTTATTAACATTTTTAATATCTGATATTTTCTTGTTTTTTGTGCTCCTCGGGGCCATTATAGGCAGATATGTGCGCTATACAAATTTAAAATTCTAAGTCTGATGATGACACATATCCATAAATATCAATTTTTGTTTTCTTTCTTTTTTTGAAAGTGAATTCTAAAGTGTTTAAAAAGTAATGATAACAGATTGGACTGATGATGCATGATTGAGCTCTGAACGTGTAACAATACTTTCCCCAACATCTACGGATAGTGAAACTGTAATTTTGACATTGTGTTGTCGGAAAGTGCATATTATTTCCATTTCTGAAAGGTTTTGTTGGTGAAATTGAATTTTATTGATTTTATTAAAGGTAATACAAAGTTTTGGAAAATTTGAAAATTGGGTGGATAGTGAATCTTTACAATTTTGATACATTTGGATGCCCCTGTGGCTGATTATAATCACTAAAAATATTAGCCCCTGAAACACTTCTGTTTTCAAGAAAAATTGAATATAAAAATTTACCGGTGCTCCCGGTAAATTTGGATAAATTTCAAATAGCGCCTATGGCCGTACAATGGTAGCTGCGACCATGACAATCTCAGAATATGTACTTGTGATATATAATTTCCAAACGGGAATAGGTAACAGGTCGATTTTAGTCAATAAACATTGTTTCATAGCTAAAATAATATCTTGACCTTGAGAGGGAGCTATACAACATAAAGAGTTTATTTTTTATAATTTCATAACTTTAGACTCGATTTCAACTGCGACAACGACCAATGCATATTGTAGGAACGCATATGCTTCCAATATGTTAATTTAAACCAAATTCATGACCCCATACCAAAACTTTGTGATACCTTTAATTTAGAAATTATTAATTTCATGAATCTGTTCCCTCATAATTGTCAATTATAGCATGTCAGCAATATATTTGGAGTCTTTATAAGCAAACCAAAAAGTGAAAGCATTTGTAACCTTCCAGCACGAAATACAAATTTATCACAAATAAGTACTAAATCATTGGTGTCCTGTCATGTGCTCCAGTGATAATTGCTCCAGGCTCATTTTGTCACAGATACAGGATTAGGTTAAGTTCAGAGTTAAGTTAGTATAGGATATTGACTATGGAATAATTGTTTCCAGAGCATGTGTTGTATAACCAAATCACCATCTTTAACCCTCACTCATTATTCCTAATTGATGCTGTTTTATTTAGTAAGCACATGTTGAGCAGAGAAGACATGGTACCTTCCCCAAACCTGACCTCTGAGAACACTGCATCAGAACCTGACTTTGATATCATTGGTGAGGATGAGGTGTCTGCAGCTAGACAAGATGAGAAGGAAAATGAGGAGAATGAGCAGGAAATACAGCCTGAGGAAAGCAGCAGGTATATCCTTATCTTTCTCTACAAGATGTAAGATATTGTGATCAGGCGCGTACGTAGGGGGGGGGGGTGTTTGGGAGGTTAACCCCCCCCCCCCCCTTTGGTATTTTTATGTGTATGAACCCCTCTAAAAAAAATATTTAAAAAACCCCCCTTTTTTTTTTTTTTTTTTTTTTTTTAATAAAATAAAAATAAAAAAATAATTAAAAAAATTATTCCCATGGCTGACCTAAAAAAGGTGACCTTACCCCCCCCCCTCAACGGAGCAAAATGTCAAATTTTCAAATATCGAGACCCCCCCCGCTTATTCAGCGGCTGGCTGAGTCGAGTGCGAAATTATCGGCCCGATTTGAAAATGTTAAACCCCCCCCCCCCCCCCCCCCCCCCCCTTGACAAAATCCTGCGTAGGCGCATGATTGCGATAGATGATAAGAAAAGAGAGTCAAAACAGTTTTGAAAGTGCTGGTAATAACTTAGGTCTTGAGAAAATTCACATCAAAGTACATCACCAAACTTAGCTTTGATATTCTGAGTACTGGTATGCATATAATCTTGTTTTGATAGTCTCATATATTTATTCATCAATATACATACCAAAGGTTGATAGCCATGTCGTTCATAGTTCTCTCTTTCATCGTTTCTTTTTATATGTGTTTTTCATTCCTCTTATTGAATTCAATGAACAAGAAATAGGGTGATAGAAGATATACAAAACTAGTAAGTGTCCTTTGTGTAAGTTTGGAAAGCAATTACTAGACAGACAATCATCATGGGGGGAAAGAACTTTCATTTCAATTAATAATTGTTTAATTGATGAATTCATCATGCAGAGGTGACATAGTTGTTATATTTTCATACCTATCCTTCCATGACATTCTTCTTTCCATATAGTTCTCCCCAAGATGGCACGGACGGCCAGTTGCTCACAGCAGAAGAGCTGGAGGGAGAAGGGATCACAGGAGAAGAAGTGACCGTTGCTGCCTACCAGAAATATAATCTTCCTGTAGCCATCAATGATGTGGGTCTCATGCTGTGCTGGGAGTTTGTGTCTTCTCCAAAGGTAAGAATGTACTATTGTTAAATCATTAATAGTTTGTTGTCTTCTGAATTTGTGCTGTAGTGTTTGGTAGTCAAACTCATGTATTTAGTTTTAAAAAAATGTATTTGTCTTATTTATCTACATAATGGTACATGTGTAAGCTCAACATGATAATCAATTGCTTTAGAAGTCAGTTTAGAAAGTGCACCAATCTTAACCCTAACCTTACAGGAGTGTTGGGGGATGGTCATCTTTACCCCCCCCCCCCCCCCTGTAGAAAATCTGCAGCTGTTGAATTTTAGAGGATGGTTAAGATCACTCACATGCTTTCATTCATCCAGGGAATAAGTAGTCATATTGAAATAAAATAATGTTTTTCTTGGAACTTCCAATATGATAATGTCTAGTGTAAAAAAAGTTAGTTCACCACAAGTATCTGAACATGTATAGAAGTGCTTGTAAACCTACATGTATGTTGTGAGTTTGTATTCCTTAAACAGTGTTTGGATTACAAGAGAATAATTGTCTTCTTCATATCAATATCAGGAGGAGAAATATTAAGGAATTCATTTTCATTTGATTATCTTTCAGAGTATTGGTTTTTCAGTAATATTTCAAGACTCCTCTGACTCTACCTCACCTCATGAAGAGTTGATACCTCTATGTAAATGTAACTCACATCAACATGCTGTCCAGGGAGAACTCTTAGCTAGGAAACCTGGTGTATATACCCTCATCTTTGATAACAAATTCTCAAGGTAAGTAATCATAGCTTTAATATTGCTATAATTTAAATGTTGGTCTCAATTTACTTCTGACAGTACACTTCTCAATGATGAATAGCTAGGGATTCACATGATGTAAGGGCTAATCAGGGTATTAATAAGTAGGCCTCTCTCTTTAAATTTTGATTTAAAACAGGATTTTTTTTATCATTGAGTGGACTAAAAATGTAGTGACCGTCTCTATTGTTTATACCCGTGCAGTAAGAGTGCAGATAACATGAAATTGTTACCATAATAGATTATTTTCGGTCTATGTGATTTGTTTACCTACTATTGTGTTTTGAAATTACTGGAAGGTCTTGGGAGTCATGGTGGGGGATTATGTTGTTGTCAAATTCTGTACAAGTATCTCAATTCATGATGAAGATTACTTGGTTATAAATTGATGCTTTTTTGATGCCATTCGAGTATGAATGATGGTGAAAGATGATTGTAGTTGTGTAACATATTAAACTATGAACAACTTTAATCCATTCCCACACTGTTCTCTACTTATAATATATATCTGATTATTTTTTTTCAATCTCATTCTGTCTTCCTCTTTCTGTCCCTTTCTTTCTTCGTTTTCTATATCTACCTTTCTTTCCTCTTTCATGTATTTGCAGGTTTACGAGCAAAATAGTCAAGTACAGTCTGCATATCAAAAGACCTGAAGCGGCTTATTGATTATTTTCGATGAATTGTGAGGCAAAGTGCAAATATGATTTTCATTCCAATTTGCCAATAGAAATCCATAACAAGTCATTATTTGATCAAGACCCGAGTGTTAATTTCAGTTATGTTACTATTTCCTCATCATATCAAGAAAGAAATCATTTACCAGTTACCTTTATTATTGTTTACATTGTGGTTGAATCTAAATATTGTATTTGTGATTGTCTTTTCTTTCTAATGAGCATCATTTGTTTAAGCATTTCCTGTTTTTCTGAACTTAGATTCAATGGAATCAACTGAAATGAGCTATTTAGATCAATTCTGAAGGCAATATTTTCATTTTCATTGGCCATGTATTTGAAATTCATTCCAGCTGTATCACTAAAATATGAAGACTTTTGTTTCATGGTGGTGTGATAATGTAAGACAAATATTGGTATATATCCATATACCGTAATGATCTTCTTCATATTCTTTTTCTGAATTTTTTATTTTTATTTTTTAAGTATGACATGTTACTTATGTTGTTTCTCTCAAAGTCATGGGTCATGAGATGAAAGATATTTTGCTGTGTTCAATAATTTTTTTTTACCCAAATTGCAAATTATTCCTACAGATAAAATGCTTGTATTTTTTTTCAGTATGAGAACGAGTAGTACTAGACAGAGAGCAGTTTAAAATCTATTGTTATTGTACATGTGCAATATACTTAAAACACAAAAGTTTTGTTAATTTTGACTACCTAACCTGTACATGTAATTGTAATAGATTCTATTTTCTACACTATCCTGCCTTGATAATGTAATCTGTTAAAATGTATTTTCAAATGCTTACAAAGTTTTTGAAGATGTCCTTGCCAAGGTGAAAAATGGATGAAAATTCAATGACATAAAGTATGGTATAAAATCAGCACACAGTTTGCCTGAAAGAGTAAAATTGTCTCTCCTTTGCATCGAGTCTGATTCGATGAACCTTAATGTTTGTCAGGTTTATGATGAATTTAGTTTGTTTTTTGTCTATCTATACCTGTCAGTATCACGAGGATTTCATTCCCATAAGATCCCAATCAGACTCTTGCCATAGGGGAACACTTATCTGAAGGCCTGATTCATTGATTCAGCTAGACATCCACTGTGTACTTTTAAAGATATCACCGTCAGGTTTCAAAGATTTCCCTAACAGTATCATTCTTTAGCTATTCATGATCAAACTAATCTTCTTACAAAGAAGTTATGCATCGTGGACTCCACCATGGAGTCTATGATAAACTTTGTTTGACTCTAATTGTGCGATGTACCATTTCATGTTCCGTTGTTGTTGTTTGGTGTGTGTGTGTGTGTGTGGGGGGGGGGGGGTATGTGGAATCATCTTATTTGTATCTTGATTCATTTAAATGAAGCAATCATTTTTTTACACTCATTTACAGTTACAAACATTTCTCAAACCTAGCCTGAAAATCTGCTTGGGTTGACAGTTAATAAGAGTCACTCTATTCTGTTTAATTCCTGCAACCAATACAGATTGTACAGAATATTTACCGTATGTCTAGTCAACCAATATACAGATGTCAATATTTTGGCCCAGATGGCTCCAGGGCAACGTGAGAGGTAATATAATGCCTGGGATGTTCCTGAATGATGTTTTCAAAATGAAGGATGAAAACAAAGCTACTAGAACATGTGATTGGTATGACCTTTCACCTTCCATTAAAAACATGATTTTTAAGACCACAAGAGTATGATACTGGGGTTCCTGTGTATTGCACAAATGGCCCTTTGCCTCAATTTTTCTCTTGTCAATACATGTATTTTCATCTCTATTAATTAAAACGTAATTCCATACAGACAATATTGTTGCTTGCAGCTTTTTTCCTTTTTCCTTATCAGTGGCAAAAAGGTATAATGACATTTTTGTGCACATGGGAATTTTGTCTGTGATTGAAATAAGAAAGCAAGCCATTCACTTACTTTGTTTCTACACTGTAACAACCATGTTAATCCCCTGTTTAATACATGTACATTTCCTTTATGTTTGGTAATATCTCTTTTTATTACACAAGATTTTGAATATTTAGTGGAAAAAACAAACAAATTGAAGTACCTGTATGTATACTGTTATTACACTTCATATAGACACATATTTTTGGCTTCGTCTCTCTCTTTCTGTTTCTATTTCTTTCATTTTGTATCTCTATCTTCTTTTTATCCCTTGCAGGCTTGCATACATTTCATTCCTCTATCATTTTCTTTTTTATCTCTCTTTCTCATTTTTGCCTTTTCACTCTGTCCTTTTCTCACATACATACAAACATAAACTCTCTCTTACATTTTCTTCCGAATTGATTTCCCACATTCCTCCATTATTCTTATAATCAGCATTCCATGCTATGGTGATATTACTTCATGTGTTTCTTTGATATGTGTATAATTGTGTGCTAGTTTATTGAATGGAAATCAGAAGTTTTTAATTTATTGTACATTAGAGTTGTAGAACAATTTGCAAATTGTTGGTTATTAAGGAAAATGCAACTCTGACCTTTCTTCTTGACATTAGACATATTATCGACAAAAAATGTAATATTCCATCAAAGATAATTATGTTATTACAGAAAGCAGAAATTTAACTAAAAGATGGATTAATGCACATGATCTAAATAGTATGCAATGTTTAAGAGCTCTGCACATCCTCTCCATATATTTGAATGTACATTTAATGTACTTCCATCTTCCATTTTAAAAAAAATCAATGGAATGTGTCAATAATGTAGGTGTTAACACACCTTTTCTGCATAATTGTAATTTTGTAACACACTGAAATATCTCTTTCTCAATTCTGCATGAAAAAAATAAAATGATTCATATTTACGCAGTTTTTAGTAATGAAAGTCATTGCATTTATGTTCAGCGGTGTGTGAGAAGGTCTAACATGTAGCATGCTGAGAGGAGAGAGGAGAGAGGAGAGGGAAGTGGGAGAGAGAGAGAGAGAGAGAGAGAGAGGGAGGCAGATGGTCAGAGACAGACAGATTAAGTTCCTTCAGAGAAATATTGATAGTGTAAGATTATAAGATGTATAATTTGTTTTCTTCTGGTCAACAGATCGATCTATTTTTGTAATCATGTATTATCATAAAAGCATATATAGCCTGGTATTTGCAAAGTGGCTTCATTTTAAAGGTACTTTGTCCCATTTGCAGACCCCAAAAATGAAAAGGTTAAATTCCACCTGCATTTGAAAGATAATACTAATTTAGAACTTCCCTCAAAACGAAAGGGCTTGAAAATGTCTTTTTATGGGAAAATAACAAACGTTAGTTGTTAGAATCGACTTTAGGGATTGCAATCCTTTAGTAAATAGTCACGATTTTCAGACACTTGTACTGAATAGTCATACGTTTTGTGCCGCGCAAAGATTCAATCAGTTTAAATTTAGCCATTACAAGAAGTGGGTTGTTGAGGTAGACAAATGCTCCTGTATCCTTAACAGCTCATTTTATGTAGGCCTATGTTATCACCAAAGTCATTACTCAATGGTGTCCGACAGTGAAGTCTAGAAAGTTAATAGGTTTCCTTGCATAATTTGAATACTAGGACACTGCTAACTTTAACGGGAAAGTCCACCCCCAAAATAAGTTTGTTTCGATAGAGGCAGAATAATAAGAAAATCAGGTGAGTGAAAGTTTGAGCAAATTCTGAATGAAAATAAGAAAGTTATGAATTATTGAAGTTGTGATCAATCAAATACAAATTGGCAACTCTGTGACTTATTATACGAGCTCTCCTTCATTTGCTTTGTGCATAATATTCCATAAAATCATGTTTTCTTCGTTATTGATGACGGAATATATATTTGTTCCTTGCAGGGGGAGTATAGAAACATATTTGCAATTATTATATTTAGGGTGCATGTATGGTTGAAATTTTTCTTGAGGGAAAATGAAAATTTTAGATTTTTTTAGTACTGAGCAAATGGAAGTTGAGCTCGCATGATACGTCATAGAGTTGCCAATTTGTGTTTGATTGATCACAACTTCAAAAATCCTAACTTCCTTATTTTTAATCGGAATTTGCTCAAACTTTCACTGATTTGTTTCTCTCATTTTTCTACTCCTATTAAAACTAACTTAATTTCAGGGTGGACTTCCCCTTTAAATTTCACAGATAGAACATGCACATGTACGTGACATATTCATAATTCCTGCAAAGTTCTACAGTGTTGACTGCAAATGGGACAAAGTAACTACCTTTTAGTAAAGCAGTTAGTGCTGTAACTATGAAAGTTGTAGTATAGAGTAACTTACATGCACACGTACGTGTATGCAGATGCACAACCTACAATGAATCATATTCGAGGCACACCTTTCATCAATGCAAGAAATCGGCACACTTTATCATATTTATTTTTATCATGTTTTATTAGTTTTCTCTTTCTCTGCAATAATCAATATGTATATGTACAACAATAGCAGGAATTTTAAGGTACATGTTATCAACACCTCTCTTGCTAATAAAATATCTTATTCAACAAAAAACGATCGTTCATGCGATATCTCTTCTGTGGATACAAATGAAGTTGTTTTTTTAAAGTGAACAATACAAAATCTGTTTAATGGTTCTACAAATAAAAAGCATAAGAAGTACATACATGTGAATGTAAAACTAACCCACTAGGTATTACAATCTTAATGTTCTAATGGAGCTTATAAAGATGAAAATCTGCAAAACAAAATGCAAGAGAGCCTTACTCTCTACAAATTCAAAGATATTGAATCCTGTTATAACATATTGTATGTACAGTATCTATCTACTGTTGAGCTGGAAAAAAAAAGTTAAGTTTAGAGACGGACAAAGTCTACGAGTACACTCAAAACAAAATTTACACTTTCCCTAGTTTTTCTGTCAGGAACACTGACATGTCCATCACCACAAGTACAAGAATATCATTTGAACTATATTTCATGAGTATGTTACCCATGTACGCATAGATTAAAAAAGTCAGTGGGTAAGATTTCCACCATATATCAACAAGAACAAAAATAAACCCAAAAACGTAACAAAACAAAATTGCTGTGATCATCCCACATGAATATTTTTACTCCTTCCGCTACTGAACAATTGAAGTCATAAATAATTCTTTTCCTCTCTTTTCAGTCAAATATCACCATCTATTATTGGAAAACTCCATTGCATAATAATCTTTCTTTTGCTATTTACAAATATATACATCACAAGGGTTAACACAACAATATATATGATACATTTAGCTAGCAGAAGAGAAGCCCATCAAAGTAAGATCAAAATTAAAATTTGGGTAACTTCATTTGCTTTGAACAAATTATAGACTTTGAATGTATTCTTTCTGTCACATGGACTTTAAAAAATGATAATATTCAATTGTCAAACTTGTTTGCATCTTGAAGTAATTTCTACAAGATGTAATAAGGCTAATTTGAAATAATACTCCTTTGAAGGTTTGATAGAAATCAACAATATATGATATCAGATTCAATCACAAAGGATCTCAAGATTTTGAGAATTGATGCCTTCATACCACCGACTTGTTTGACCATCGAATGAATGGTTCGTCTGTGAGAAGATATATTGCAATGATTAATATTCAAGTCAGAAGTGATTTGTTAGAGGCACAACCATCATTACTAGTCCCATTACCTCCCAGGCCGACGAATCTTGCTCTCTATTAGCTACAGCTGTCCCTAGGAAAACACTGGACTATCAAACACATAACTCCACTAAGCAATCATACTTGCAGAATGTGCGTAATGCGACAACTCATACATGTAACAGTCATTACAAAAATAAGACACAGGTTTCTGCAATGAGGGAAAAAAATATCCATCATACATATACAAGTAATGTAAGCCTTGAGGTAAAATAAAAATTAGATTATTTTTTTTACAAAGAAGAATGAAAGATATTTCTCTTTACTCTCCTCGTGTGGTTAGAATAACCTGATTATCAAATGAGTTCTGCATTGAAAAATGTCAGCTGGAAGAGTTAACATGAATGCAAAAAGGAAAGGTGTAGACAGTAAAATAAATTGAAGTCATGAAGTGTATACAGAAATAAGCACTACAGAAATTGGGACGTAAAGTAATTTAGGTCTTTTGTGCTATGCCTCTTGTGGATATGTACACTGTATATGGAAAAATATAATGCCACAGCAATTAGGAATCCTTATTCCTTAGGCTATTAAAGTTGTAAACATAACAAAAATTAATGGAACATAATCTACAATTGAAAATGAAATTCAACAAAGATGTCATCAAAAAAAAAATTTTGAAGCTTGGAATCAGCAGCATATTACAGCTTTTTTAAAGAGTTTCTGGAATCAAAGTTACATGGACTGCTCATCACTGTCTCTTTGATTGCTATTGCGAGGGACAAGGTAGACAGTACCATCAGGCATCTGTTGTACGTTATAGTCATTGGGATCAACTGGGCTACCATGCTCATCCTGAACCGAGGCAAAGACTTCTTCACAGAGTTCTGCATACCTCTGCTGCATCTCATTGACTTCTTTGTCAATGCTGTCACGCTCTTTGACCAACTTGTCCCTTTCCATCCTCAGCTCACCAACCGTTGACTCCACGATCTGGATGGCATCTATTTTACGTTTACGGCAATTCTGAGCGGCAACTTTGTTTTTTCCACGCCTCCTGATGTCACGGACGAGCTGCATCTGGGGATCTGTGAGCTCGTATTTCTTGACCAGGTCGTTGAAGGAATCGACTGGCAGGTTGATGATCTTTTCAAGGCAGACTGGAAGTTTGAGGGCCTTGGCACGTTTCTCGTCACGGTTTAACTTCATGTAGTTGCCGTTTGTCCCATTGAAGCTTATGTTTTGTGCACCATTGCCATTCTGCATCTGGGACTGTGAGGGAGCAGCATAGGAATGGTTGTGCTTCACATTCTCCATCTTAGGGGGTTGACCACTGTAGCTGTTATTGCTGGAATCACTCCCGTACTGCCTCTCATGACCTGTCAATGTACAAACAAAACCAGGTTAGATGTATACAAGTATGCATCAACTACATGTGAGCTCCCGTAATACTATAATACATCTTGAAGACAACATTCCTCAGAATTTATACCATCTGTTTGGATGGAGTACAAAAATATGAAAAGTCATTATTAACCAGCTATTTTCTCCAAAACAGGAAGTACAAGGACAATATTGTGCCACCCACAGCATCTTGAAGTAAAAGTAAAACAAAACAAACATCAATATTTGTAGGAGGATATGGATTTGTCTAGTCACAATTGAATTTACATGCAACCCTAAAGACACAATTCAATGTCAAAACAATTTTTCAGACACCAGATACGTGCAAGTGAAGTTTTCTGAGTAGTCACTGCTTTTTTTCCCACAAGACAAAAACCATAAATAGAGTACCTGCTGACAGTGCAGAGACTTAGGTATTTCTTTATTCAGTTTAAAAATGTCAAAATATAGTATGCAAAACATGATTAACAAAGCTGTAACATAAACACTAGTACATGTATGTGTGTAAAACTAGTATTTTCTTATTATGTGTACATGCTTATAAAACTAAATTTTAGTGGCATTTTTGCACACTGTACATTCAGTCTGTTAAAAGCACCTCTCAAACAATGTTACAAAAGAACAAAAATTGTAATTCTTGACTGACCTCTTGAGAAACCATATCCTCCAGCAGCACCCTTGTAGTCGTCTTCATCTGAGCCAGATGAGTAGCCTGATGCACCCTCAGCTTCAAACAGGGATCCATCTGTTTCAAATAGTCAAGAAGATAACATGAATATGAGACATTCTAAAGGTACTCAACAGAGATTTTGACAAAATCAACCTTGTTCATATGACTGACTATTATATTACAGACAAGTCCATGAAATCATGACATTCTTCTGTATATGGTTGACCAATGACTAGGGAAGTATTGGAAGCTTTGGGTGTCCAGCTTGTCCTCATCTTGTCACGTTGTTTGTGTATTTCTTGTTCCTGGAAATAAACCATGGCCACTGCTTATCATATTAAAAGAGTCAATGCTAAATGAAGGTCACTGCTGAGATATTCCACCACTTACCAAACTTTGGGTAAGCAAAGAAAGGCACAACAACCTGCACATACGTTGAATATGTTTCATCCATTGGAACAGGACATGGGATCCATACATACATGTACGCAGGTACGAAATACGAGAGTGGTACATTGGCATCTAATCCTTGCATCATGAAAGGCTGATCTAGGAGAGATATTCTTCCCTCGTAGAGACAGTATTAGAAGTAAAAAACAGTCAATAGCTGCATACATGAATGTAGTAGTGAATCAAAACCAAAACCAAAGCCACATCTGATATTTGATACATTATTGTTCTGCAACAGCATAAATTGATCACTTTCTTAGCCTGATTGAGTCAATTCAAAACAGCTACATTTGTAAGTAGAGCACCAAGAACAAAGCATAAGATTTGAAGGGGAAAAAAAGCAGCAGTTGAACAAGACAGAGAGAAGAAGAAAGAAAAAAAAGCACAGGATCAAGTTGCAAGTAGACCTTATCAGCCTTCTCCGGAGAATTTGCAGCAAGCTCAGCACTCCAAGTGACCTTTCTTGATAGTGTCATAAAATTCGGCAAGGATCCAAGTTTGTACTAAGAAAATGTTCATGGTACCTGAGCCCCCCAGGAATCCCACGGTAGGTACATAACATCTTTTGACCTACATTTTGAGGCCCTTGCTTGTGTGGTGAATGTATATCTTCTTTATTCTTTTTAACATGAATGTCTGGAAAGAAAATCCCTTCATGTGAATTGTGATTCAAGGAAATGATCTATCTTCCATGTACACAAACAGCTGCATTTGCTACACCTACAATGTACATGTACCAATATACAAGTATAGCCAAAATCCCAGAAAACAAGTGCTTACCAGTAGATTATAAAATAAAAAGAACCAGCCCTACAACATGTGCAGAGTTCATGAAATAATAGTTTAGTCTTTCAAATTTAGCACTATAATGTTGATATTTAACAGTTTTTAAAGGAACATCCTGGGATTTGTTTGCTTATTTGCATGTTTAGCAGATGAATTAAACTTTGAAAATATGAAATAGTTACCCTTCAGAATATTAAGTACTTACCGCTATCTTCTTCATTACTCAGGGACTCAGAGTCTTCTCCAAGAGCAGCAATGACATCATGCATCTGTTCATCAAAGTCCAGATCCAATGGATTGATTGGATGAGCTGAGCCTGGTGAGTTGAGGAGATCCATCAGGAGAGAGCTGCCGTTTTCTGCTGTACTGAGGTTGGCAGCAGGGAAAGGTGCTGAGGCATTCACTGCATTCATCTGGTGCTGCAATGTCTGCATCAAGTAGTCTGTCATGTTGTCATTAGGAGCACTTGCAGTGGCATTTGTAGAGTGACTCTGCGCATCCACGTTTGGAAAGTTGTTAAATGAGTCGTTGCGTGTGGGAGGCAAAAGTATCGGCTGCTGCTGTGACTGGGTGGCATTCTGCAAGCTCACCATCCCATTGGTGGAAGCATTTACAGCAAAGACATCATTCAACAGCTGAGGTTGCGACAGTTCAGTGACCTCTGGAACCAGACTCCCAGTGACATTAGCCACTGGTGGGATAAAAAGCTGTTGGGGAGTGGAGTACCCTTCTTGTGTGTTGTTCAGAGTAGGGGTGGTTGGCAGTAGCTCAGGAATACTACCTTGAAGTTCCGGAATAGTGGCAAGGTCATGCCATCGCTGTTCTGTTTCTTGCTGACTAAGCCCAGGGGAAAGTTCAGTTTGTGCTGTGTCTGGTGAATACTCGTCTTCTAAGAGCTGTAAGCAGTCTTCCAATGAGAGACTGCTATCTTGCTGAGGCTGTGCGTCTTGTTGGGGCTGAGAGCAAGGAAGTGGCTCTTGAGGTTGGACTGTTCGTTGGACTTCTTCTCCAAAGTCTTGTCGAGGACCAGCAACATACTCTCCTGTCTCTCCATCTATGTTGTAGTTGTAATCCCATTGGTCTAGGCCTTGTTTCTTGAGGTCCTCAGTAAAGCCTGGTTTGAGGTCTGTCTTGTAAGGGTAGGTCTCAGGACAAACTCCCATATCAATATCCTGTCTCCATAGGCTTTCAATCAAGTCCATGTCCTGGGGAAAAGGCAAAACAGAAAAAAAAATCATGATAGGGTTTAGATAAAATTTAACAAATTTTCAGTGAAAAAATATAGTTTTAAGTAGAGTTAAGTTAGGTGGAAAATATTTTTAAATCGCAATTTACTTAAATACATGAAGGTATTAGTTCTCATCTACTAATTATTACACATTCCATAAATCACAACATTTTAGCTGGACATGTTGAGAGATAAAGTTGAGTTCTGGTCATGCGGTTGCATTGTCAAAGAAACGGTGTGGAATCATAATAATGATACAAAATGTGGCAGTCATGGTAAAAGTAACAAGTACTGTATGCAGAAAATGAATATGGGGCCACACAAACATGTGGCATAAAATGTGGTCCTCATTTTTAAGCTGTTACATGTCATATTTTGAATATGAAGGCATTTGAAGAGCCATGCTTCTCAGGGAACATTTTTTCTCTGATGTTCTTCCAGACTTGCATAATAACAATGAAAATGCTCACACAATATTTTTCACCTCTACCCAGAACTCAACCTTCTCCGTAAGTGGTTATATCCCAAGATTAAACATGTGTCATTTTAGAGAGCTTTTATCAAGTACAAGAAGTGACAGACTTGTTGATCTACAGGGTGTTAATTTCCCACCTTTGGTGGTATGCAAAGTTTATAATAGAAGCACATGCATAAAATCTGTATATTAAAAACATTGAAGGTACATGTAGATAAAATGGCAGTTTTTAAACACAGGTGGCCTATATACAGTGTGTAAATCATCAACAAAAAATGAGAAAACTATTTGGTTTGTAGAAAGGTGCCCTTTATAAAACAGGTTGTCACTACAGAAGGTTCACATTACATGTATGTGTTGTTGTAAATTTACTGTACTCCAGTCATTTGCTTTCTGAATAATTTTCTTTTCTTTATCCACGCAAATGTGTACCTCAATACTCAGCTCATCTGAAGGTGTAGGGGAGACAGAATGAGACTGCCCTACAGCACCTTCCACTCCTGTATCCATCTCTTCAAAACCTTCATCACTTTCACTATCATGATGCATGGGCTGTTCAAGGTTTCCACTATTCATATTGTTGTTGACATGGTTATTTGTTGGGTTTGTGGGTTGTTGTGCGACCATCACTTGCCCATTCGATCGATCATTGGACTCCAATTGATCTAGCAAAAATGTTGTCACTTCAACTCTCCTTCTTGAGCTGGTTATAGATGAAATTCCTTCATAGAGTGAATCAAGTTCTCTAAACACTGACCGATTATAATAAAATGAGTCTGTAATAATATTTTTTGAATGAGTTTGTCCAGCTGAATTATATAAATTATGAAATTGTGTTTCTGTCAGCCCTACACTGGGTCCCACAATTGTATCGTGAAATCTTGAGTTAGTAACCAAAATATCTTCTCCTAAGTAGCCTGTCCAATCCAATCGAAGAACACTCAACATCAATGCTATCGCTAGCATTGATTCGTATGGAAGTTTCTTCTGAATCATTTTGAAAGAAGTCTTGCTCCTCTTCAGGAATCAGAGTCAGAGAGAACATACACACAAATAGGGCTGAATTACAGCTGTGTAGCAACCCTCAAATAAAAAGCAGTGCCTCAACAACTGCAAAGACAAAGTGTCCAATCCCTTTGTTTAAAACAATAAACAACGAACGCAGGTCAGCTCAGTGTGTTGCCCGACTAATGCACAGCTAGCGAGCGCAGTTCATACAGTGCATCATCCATGTGTGTGGCTGGACGTTACCGGTACGACACGCACAAAATATGGACACTTCTTTGTTTCCTCAAAGGAAATTTAGATTAACGCCAACAACTTCCTGAGCATAATCAGGCCTTCAAAATGTTCCTACAATGTTTACTGACGATGCAGAAAATGTATAGTGGTCTATGTGTTCAATAAAAATGCTATTATTACTTTTACAAGTAAAGCAAATAAATCTTCTAGCCCGACTCCATTCCAAATCCAGGCAAAGGAACAAATGGTTTCGCGGTGGTTACGTATCTAAACGTCGAGAAGCAGACTAATCACACAAAAACTGACGACTCATACCGTCGAAGAACTTTACCGGCACTCCTTCGCCAATATTCTTTCTAATAAATAGGAATCTGTCACCTAGCATTTCTTGATAACTGCATTCCGGTATAATGACAGTCCTCATATGAATGCAGAAATCACTCTCCAGTAATAAGACAAAGAAAATAAAGCACTGAAACAAGATCTTCTCGACTCAGAAACAGAGGCTCTTCTTCGTTCTAATGGAATTCACCCGGTAGTAGACAACACACATGCGCACGCCACGGGGTCAATCTCCGATTCTAAAATTAGAAAATGTGTCATAGTACCCGGAGGTTCTCGAATGATTAGTCTATACTGTCAGACAACTTGAAAAAAAAACGTAAAAACGAAATATTGTCCCAGATCAGCTGCTACATGACAGGATCGCCACAAATCCCCGCCAATATTCTAATACAATTCAAAATTAACAAATACGTATGTACATGTACAAACATTATATTTTATATGTCGCAAGGTAGATAGTGATAAAACTATAAAGAACGTCTGAATTCAAATACTAGTTATTTTTGTTGGTGTATGTTTACATTTTGCGATGGCACCATTTCGCAATTTTACTGCCAAAAAAGAACAGAAAGAGAGAAAGAGAGAGAGAGAGAGAGAGAGAGAGAGAGAGGAGGGTTTTTTTTTTTTTTTGGGGGGGGGGGGGGTACGACAATAATTACTTAAAAGTTTTGGACAGGCGCATACGATAAGATGCAAGGTCACGGACACAGCATACATGACATGCCCCTGTACAAAAAAGCATATTTTTCTTCATCTGCTCTGGATGATCGTTATGGGTAGGCCCGATAATATTTAATTAAACGTATGGATTTGTTATTTTCTATTAATATAGTCCTACAGAAATTTCAAGATCAATAAAGCCTCTTCTACAGATAAAACAATCCAAATAATTTATTGGCAAACTAAACATCTATGATAGCAAGCCCCACCCTAGTCTGGTTATATCACCAATTCTCAGACTCGTGACTTGCCTCTCACTTACATAGCTTCTCAACAGTGTAAACTTGACGGCGCAGTGCGTACAATTATTTTAGGTCAAAGTCCGCCAAACAATATTCAATATAACATTGCACTCCTATTGTATTGTTTGCAATATAAAAACATTTCAACTCAGAAGCCTGGAATATCATATTTGGTGGTTCGGCCCAACCTTTGCCTTACTTCGTCAACACGGGAGGAAGCTGTAGGCATACAATCTAGCTTTTACCACTACAAGTGGTGGTTTCATAATCTTGATTTAATTAATAAACGGTATTAACCTTAAAATATACAAGATAACGACCCAACCTGTTTTTATATTTGCCCGAACGTTTCACGGTTATAGATCTTTGAGTCTTATTTGGTAATGTTAACACAAAAGCTTGTAAATGCTTTGGCAGAAACAATATTTTAAAATGAAAACAATTCTAAAGCTTTGATTAAGATTTTCTGAGACAAGTACATCTCTACAACTGTATGTAACATCTAGACCCTTTATCTAATGATGCACACACAAAAATCAGAGTTATTAGACAATGATAATTATGTTCCACTATACGGATTGAGTTAAAAATGTAACCGTCTTGTTGATCTAATCAAGTAGAGAGAGATTACTAAATACACACTTTTAGTATCCGACCGAAAATACTGTTGCAATTAATACCACCCCACACCCCAATAATAGGGGGTGGGCTATTTCACTCCTTCCCTCGTCTGCGGACTATGGTTTATCTTGCATTACTATGTCTTCTCATCTTTATATACCTGCACAGTGTTATGTCGAGGATCTGGATTTTGAATCGAAAATATTATTTTTATTTTCATGTAACATGCTTTCAATGAAAATAATGCTTCCTGTCTTCAGATGTCAAGAGATGGCTTCAGACCTTGTTTGCAATGCAGTCATGCAGACCCATTAAAATAAAGCTTTAATTGCTTTTTGACTCAACACTATTATTATGTGCTATTGCTCATAAGTAATAACACAAGCAAAGGATATATATTTATTCAAAAAAATAACCTTCATTGTGAGGGATATGAACAGGAGTGGGGAGAGAATATATCAATTGGACATTTTGACAAATCTTTCTCTGAATGTACACGAATGCCCGTTGAAAATATAAATATTACCACTGATTGAAATATAATTCATAAAATCATAAGTAATACCTTTTCTTAAATCATTAACACATCTATCGAATCGGAGAAGAAAAATATAGTCCAATCAGGGGGAAATGTAGTGAATATTCTAAATTCGACAACATTGCTGATTAATCGCGCATTATTATGTCGACAAGTCTGGGTATAATAAGCCTGTACTAAATCACTGGCCATGGGAAAACAGACCATACTTTCTCAGTAACATTATTATAATTATGACCACAAGGCACAACCGGCATTGTTTTGTAACAACAGTGCCAGGGATCACTTGTACTTTACGTCCTGGAGTACAGCTACTCATGGGTGTAACTATACGACGAAAAGAAAAAAACAATAACATATTTTTATTCACCGAAAGTCCTCAATTACTCTATTTCACATGATTAGATTAACCTTTAATTAATAATTATCCCATTGTTAACCCTTGGGGTACGACAACGAGAACATGCCCAATTACAGTCATGTATGAGGGCTACCACATATACACCCTGGAATAAATCAATCAAGGTCTACTCTTTCATTGTTTATGATTATTATGCTGACACGCTTCACAGGTAATTACTTTGTAATTGCATGATATTTCCACGTTTGCGTTGGTTCTCAATTAAAACAGGTAAGAACACGAGACGAATAAAAGCTCTTTGAAACAGGTAAGTAAGTATATCAGTAAACATGCCTACATTGTACATGTACATCTGAAAATCACCTTCATCATTACGTAATGATCACCTACAGAGTGCAGACTACGATCAATGGCAGTTGTGTTACATGTATTTTTCGGCAAGATGAGGCAAGTGGTGATTTCGGAAATAATTTGATGATCAAACCGTCTTATTCAGCATCTAAAGATGATCAGTTACTTTGCATGGATAATTGTTTTGCTTTCCAAGCCACACTCCCAACTCCAATAACTCATCAAAATCAAGTTGGATTATTTCCATCCTTATAATAATATGGCCAGTAAGTACTAGAAGTATTTAATTTTTTAGTAGTTTTTTTTTTTTGGGGGGGGGGGGGGGTGGCGGGAGAGGTTCCTTATTAAAGTTCTTATGATAACATTAAAACTCTTTTCAAGATAATGGTAGTATCTATCTATCATTAAAATATCACATTTTGCTAATAATTCAGAGTTAACTTAAAAACGTAAATTAGTTATTTATCATTGTACATTATTATCAGTTATAATGAAAACTTGCTTTTAGGTTTTAGCTATTGTTTTCAAATTTATAGTTTGCGATCAAAGCCAATGTATGAATAAGTAACTGATCAAGAAAATGCATTCGAGCGTGCAATGCGAGCAAGTGCCTTTTTTTTGATGACACTCAAATTTTAGAATCATATTCATGACTATCATTTATACAAAGGTAACTTGTGACCATAATTCAAACTGAATATCTATACGAGCAAAACGTAGTGGAAGAAGAAAGGGGAGTGGTGGTGGGATGGATGTTTGTGTGCGTGTAAACCCGATGGGGATAGGATGGCTTCTAAATGCCTCTCAGGTCGATGCCCCTCCCCCTTTTACGGCCAATATAAATAAAGCGAACAAATATCATATTAAACTACTGTCAAGTTATAAGTCTGCATGTGGTCCTGTGTTTTATTTGCACAATAAGATCAACAAGCATTATTTTATGATTACTGTCATTATAAGCTAAATTGTTCAAAGGTGCTTTAATCATAGAGGAAACTGCCATTGTGTTACCTGATAAGAATGAAAATCATACCACAGAACGTTCAAGCTCTTTGCTCTTTGAACTTCTCATTATTATTGCACCACGGAATTCAGATGTCACCCTTCTGAAACTGGAATATTGTGGAATAGTTTATCATTCCGCATTTAGAGATGAGTAAAAAGACAATAGAACAAAACTAAAACTATGTTTGAGGCAGATGATCAAATAAAACAAAATTAAAATTACTTAGACAATAACTACAACAATATAATGGCAATGATAATGGTAGCAGTATTAGTAGTAGTAGAAGTAGTAGTACTCTACTACTACTACTACTTGTACTACTACTACTACTACTACTACTATACTACTACTACTACTACTACTAGTACTACTACTACCACTACTTCTACTACTACTACTACTACCTACCTACCTACTACATGTACTACTACTACCTAATACTACCAGCTACATGTGTAGTTGTGTACTACTACTACTACTACAATTACTACCTAATATACTACTACTTATATACATATATTTTTAAAGAAGTAATATAGCAGCAGCAAACTAGTAGTAGTAGTAGTAGTAGGTGATAGTAGCAGTAGTAGTAGTAATACTTATAGTGTAGTAGTAGTATAAATAGTAGAAGCTGCTGCAATATTGAAAGTTGTGGTGGTGGTGGTAGCTGTAAGCTGTAGTAATGATAACACTAAGTATTAATATTAGTAGTAAAACTAGTACTTGATAGTAACTAGTAGTAGTCCTAGTAGTAGTAATAGAAGTAGACTAAAAGCTCCAGTCTCTGATATCGATGGTTGTTCCGCTGAGATTACATCTGGCTCCTCTGATAGGGAATGTTGACAAATGTCAGTTTTATTAATGAACGACCCATACTATAACAGACTGTTATTTATGTCTATACTAGTAGAAGTAGAAGAAGTAGAAGAAGTAGTAGTGACTGGACTCGTAAAATACTACAAAATTCAAGTGCAAGAAATTTCTTATGTGCTACATAATGCATCTACATGTAGATATACCATATGTTGATGTCAGTCTGTCACACTTTACTTTACTTTACTTTTTTTTTACTTTAATCCATCGATGGTGGTAGGACAGAGCCTGTTCATCGATCGATTGAATTCCTTTGCATCAATACTTCTGTTTGTTGCGATGAAAAGTCACATGATTTATATCAAAAATGTATAGTTTAGCAAGGTATCCAAAATATAGCCTAATGAATCATGCATGCTTGATAATCTGATAATGATGACAGTATGCATCAACTACAACTATTTCCATAATAACATTGGAGGCCAGCTGGAAATGTATACATACATTCTTATGTATATTTAGATGTAAGTGACGGTACCTCTTGGAAGTCGAATAATTCAATCAATTTCCTTGACATGATTTACAGAATG